AAACATTACATCCATACGGCAGGGCCCCACAAAGATACAATCTTGAGATCTGTGTGTGTGTGTGTGTGTGTGTGTGTGTGTGAGAGACTGAGTTCATGGATATCAAGAAGACATCCACTCGCATTTGCACAAGTGACAGTCTAAGATCTAACTCACCATTACCTGTGGGCCAACGTCCAGTCTGCTAGGAGACGAGTCTTGGAACGACTGAGCTTTTTCAGAAACAGGAGTCTTCGAGTCCTTCACCTGAAAATAAAAAACAAAAATAAGACTTCTTGACATACATTACAGTCAAGACTCAAGAAGGCAATTCATGTGCCGTTTGTCCCCAAAACCAAACCCCTAATTACTCATGTTCCAGCCTATTTAGGACCATTTTTTAGCCATTACACCCACATCTAAGTGGATATTTGGGATCACAACTTAAAATGCCAGATTACCTGTTGCACAGTGACAATGTGTGGAACTGTAGCTGTAATATAATGTGCTTTCATAAGAACAGACACTGCAACTAGCATGTAAAAATAAACAAAACATTACATCCATACGGCAGGGCCCCACAAAGACACAATCTTGAGATCTGTGTGTGTGTGTATGTGTGTGAGAGACTGAGTTCATGGATATCAAGAAGACATCCACTCACATTTGCACAAGTGACAGTCTAAGATCTAACTCACCATTACCTGTGGGCCAACGTCCAGTCTGCTAGGAGACGAGTCTTGGAACAACTGAGCTTTTTCAGAAACAGGAGTCTTCGAGTCCTTCACCTGAAAATAAAAAACAAAAATAAGACTTCTTGACATACATTACAGTCAAGACTCAAGAAGGCAATTCATGTGCCGTTTGTCCCCAAAACCAAACCCCTAATTACTCATGTTCCAGCCTATTTAGGACCATTTTTTAGCAATTACACCCACATCTAAGTGGATATTTGGGATCACAACTTAAAATGCCAGATTACCTGTTGCACAGTGACAATGAGTGGAACTGTAGCTGTAATATAATGTGCTTTCATAAGAACAGACACTGCAACTAGCATGTAAAAATAAACAAAACATTACATCCATACGGCAGGGCCCCACAAAGATACAATCTTGAGATCTGTGTGTGTGTGTGAGACTGAGTTGATGGATATAAGAAATCCACTCGCATTTGCACATCTATACGGCAGGGCCCCACAAAGACACAATCTTGAGATCTGTGTGTGTGTGTATGTGTGTGAGAGACTGAGTTCATGGATATCAAGAAGAGATCCACTCACATTTGCACAAGTGACAGTCTAAGATCTAACTCACCATTACCTGTGGGCCAACGTCCTGACTGCTAGGAGACGAGTCTTGGAACAACTGAGCTTTTTCAGAAACAGGAGTCTTCGAGTCCTTCACCTGAAAATAAAAAACAAAAATAAGACTTCTTGACATACATTACAGTCAAGACTCAAGAAGGCAATTCATGTGCCGTTTGTCCCCAAAACCAAACCCCTAATTACTCATGTTCCAGCCTATTTAGGACCATTTTTTAGCAATTACACCCACATCTAAGTGGATATTTGGGATCACAACTTAAAATGCCAGATTACCTGTTGCACAGTGACAATGTGTGGAACTGTAGCTGTAATATAATGTGCTTTCATAAGAACAGACACTGCAACTAGCATGTAAAAATAAACAAAACATTACATCCATACGGCAGGGCCCCACAAAGATACAATCTTGAGATCTGTGTGTGTGTGTGTGTGTGTGTGTGTGTGTGAGAGACTGAGTTCATGGATATCAAGAAGACATCCACTCGCATTTGCACAAGTGACAGTCTAAGATCTAACTCACCATTACCTGTGGGCCAACGTCCAGTCTGCTAGGAGACGAGTCTTGGAACGACTGAGCTTTTTCAGAAACAGGAGTCTTCGAGTCCTTCACCTGAAAATAAAAAACAAAAATAAGACTTCTTGACATACATTACAGTCAAGACTCAAGAAGGCAATTCATGTGCCGTTTGTCCCCAAAACCAAACCCCTAATTACTCATGTTCCAGCCTATTTAGGACCATTTTTTAGCCATTACACCCACATCTAAGTGGATATTTGGGATCACAACTTAAAATGCCAGATTACCTGTTGCACAGTGACAATGTGTGGAACTGTAGCTGTAATATAATGTGCTTTCATAAGAACAGACACTGCAACTAGCATGTAAAAATAAACAAAACATTACATCCATACGGCAGGGCCCCACAAAGACACAATCTTGAGATCTGTGTGTGTGTGTATGTGTGTGAGAGACTGAGTTCATGGATATCAAGAAGACATCCACTCACATTTGCACAAGTGACAGTCTAAGATCTAACTCACCATTACCTGTGGGCCAACGTCCAGTCTGCTAGGAGACGAGTCTTGGAACAACTGAGCTTTTTCAGAAACAGGAGTCTTCGAGTCCTTCACCTGAAAATAAAAAACAAAAATAAGACTTCTTGACATACATTACAGTCAAGACTCAAGAAGGCAATTCATGTGCCGTTTGTCCCCAAAACCAAACCCCTAATTACTCATGTTCCAGCCTATTTAGGACCATTTTTTAGCAATTACACCCACATCTAAGTGGATATTTGGGATCACAACTTAAAATGCCAGATTACCTGTTGCACAGTGACAATGAGTGGAACTGTAGCTGTAATATAATGTGCTTTCATAAGAACAGACACTGCAACTAGCATGTAAAAATAAACAAAACATTACATCCATACGGCAGGGCCCCACAAAGACACAATCTTGAGATCTGTGTGTGTGTGTGAGACTGAGTTGATGGATATAAGAAATCCACTCGCATTTGCACATCTATACGGCAGGGCCCCACAAAGACACAATCTTGAGATCTGTGTGTGTGTGTATGTGTGTGAGAGACTGAGTTCATGGATATCAAGAAGAGATCCACTCACATTTGCACAAGTGACAGTCTAAGATCTAACTCACCATTACCTGTGGGCCAACGTCCTGACTGCTAGGAGACGAGTCTTGGAACAACTGAGCTTTTTCAGAAACAGGAGTCTTCGAGTCCTTCACCTGAAAATAAAAAACAAAAATAAGACTTCTTGACATACATTACAGTCAAGACTCAAGAAGGCAATTCATGTGCCGTTTGTCCCCAAAACCAAACCCCTAATTACTCATGTTCCAGCCTGTTTAGGACCATTTTTTAGCAATTACACCCACATCTAAGTGGATATTTGGGATCACAACTTAAAATGCCAGATTACCTGTTGCACAGTGACAATGTGTGGAACTGTAGCTGTAATATAATGTGCTTTCATAAGAACAGACACTGCAACTAGCATGTAAAAATAAACAAAACATTACATCCATACGGCAGGGCCCCACAAAGATACAATCTTGAGATCTGTGTGTGTGTGTGAGACTGAGTTGATGGATATAAGAAATCCACTCGCATTTGCACATCTATACGGCAGGGCCCCACAAAGACACAATCTTGAGATCTGTGTGTGTGTGTGTGTGTGTGAGAGACTGAGTTCATGGATATCAAGAAGAGATCCACTCGCATTTGCACAAGTGACAGTCTAAGATCTAACTCACCATTACCTGTGGGCCAACGTCCAGTCTGCTAGGAGACGAGTCTTGGAACGACTGAGCTTTTTCAGAAACAGGAGTCTTCGAGTCCTTCACCTGAAAATAAAAAACAAAAATAAGACTTCTTGACATACATTACAGTCAAGACTCAAGAAGGCAATTCATGTGCCGTTTGTCCCCAAAACCAAACCCCTAATTACTCATGTTCCAGCCTGTTTAGGACCATTTTTTAACCATTACACCCACATCTAAGTGGATATTTGGGATCACAACTTAAAATGCCAGATTACCTGTTGCACAGTGACAATGTGTGGAACTGTAGCTGTAATATAATGTGCTTTCATAAGAACAGACACTGCAACTAGCATGTAAAAATAAACAAAACATTACATCCATACGGCAGGGCCCCACAAAGATACAATCTTGAGATCTGTGTGTGTGTGTGTGTGTGTGTGTGAGAGACTGAGTTCATGGATATCAAGAAGAGATCCACTCACATTTGCACAAGTGACAGTCTAAGATCTAACTCACCATTACCTGTGGGCCAACGTCCAGTCTGCTAGGAGACGAGTCTTGGAACAACTGAGCTTTTTCAGAAACTCGAGTCTTCGAGTCCTTCACCTGAAAATAAAAAACAAAAATAAGACTTCTTGACATACATTACAGTCAAGAGTCAAGAAGGCAATTCATGTGCCGTTTGTCCCCAAAACCAAACCCCTAATTACTCATGTTCCAGCCTATTTAGGACCATTTTTTAGCAATTACACCCACATCTAAGTGGATATTTGGGATCACAACTTAAAATGCCAGATTACCTGTTGCACAGTGACAATGTGTGGAACTGTAGCTGTAATATAATGTGCTTTCATAAGAACAGACACTGCAACTAGCATGTAAAAATAAACAAAACATTACATCCATACGGCAGGGCCCCACAAAGATACAATCTTGAGATCTGTGTGTGTGTGTGAGACTGAGTTGATGGATATAAGAAATCCACTCGCATTTGCACATCTATACGGCAGGGCCCCACAAAGACACAATCTTGAGATCTGTGTGTGTGTGTGTGTGAGAGAGAGAGAGACTGAGTTCATGGATATCAAGAAGACATTCACTCGCATTTGCACAAGTGACAGTCTAAGATCTAACTCACCATTACCTGTGGGCCAACGTCCAGTCTGCTAGGAGATGAGTCTTGGAACGACTGAGCTTTTTCAGAAACAGGAGTCTTCGAGTCCTTCACCTGAAAATAAAAAACAAAAATAAGTCTTCTTGACATACATTACAGTCAAGAGTCAAGAAGGCAATTCATGTGCCGTTTGTCCCCAAAACCAAACCCCTAATTACTCATGTTCCAGCCTGTTTAGGACCATTTTTTAGCCATTACACCCACATCTAAGTGGATATTTGGGATCACAACTTAAAATGCCAGATTACCTGTTGCACAGTGACAATGTGTGGAACTGTAGCTGTAATATAATGTGCTTTCATAACAGACACTGCAACTAGCATGTAAAAATAAACAAAATATTACATCCATACAACAGTGCCTGGGAAGTTTATAGTTGTTAGTGAATTTTTTCCATAATTCACTTTTACCTGTCTGCTGATTCTGGGTCTGACACAATCCTCAGTTGAGGAATCACGGGAAAGCACAGCTTTTTCAGCTTCGGTAACTGGAGGCTGAGAGCCATGTAAGAAAAAGGAAAATCATTAAGTTTTTTTTAACCACTTTAAGTACACCTGTATTCTTTATCTAATAAACGTACCTTTTCACGCCATGGCCATTTAGAATTACCATAATTGTAATCAATTTCAGTGCCTTTCTCTATTTTTCTGATGGCAAACAGGCACAGATGGGGCTGACCATTTACTGTAATTTTTTTCATGGTGCAGTTTGGTGATCTGTGGTTGTCATTAACTAATCTTCCAAGAGATCCATCTTCTTTTGACGCATCAACACTAGCAAGAAAAAAGTGTTAAAAAAAATTAATAAAATGTAAATTTCTGAGGTCATAGAAAAGTTTTTTTTTTTTTAAACAGAAAATTGTGTGTTGATTTTCAGTTAATCAGGTCAGGGTTTCCCCCAGCGCTTTAGAAGCCTGGCGGGCCACCAGGCTTTGCTTGGCCACCTGCCAGGCTAAGTGTCTTGCCCCGCCCCCCTCCCCGACCCTACAGTGTCTCCAGACACGAACGGAGCAAAGAAACTAGAGCCCTCCATCAGCTGATACTTGTGAGAAACAGCAGCGGAACGTGTGCAAACCCCCCACCCCCGCTCTCTCATGGAGGAGCGCTGCGGGACTGTGGTGGCCAATCCATGTGTGAAAATTATGTCTCAACAAAATATTAGTGCGTGTGTGACATTTTTTTGGTGGTGATGTTTTTTTGGCTAGGCGTTATAAGAATCCTGTCTAAAATAAATTTGAAGATACTCACCACCAGTGATGATTCTGCCATTCAAACTCAAATAGAAAAGTACTCTCTATTTCAGAGTACTTTTTGGACATGCATTCATCAAACGAGAGAAGTTCACCTCTGTATTCAAGGACAAAAGCACCTTGTTCAATGTCCTCCATAGCAAATACACCTCTTCCTGAAAAGGGTGTTTTAAATAAACACACTGGTTAGAAGAGAACGTTTTTTACTTTAAATATATTTTTAACAGAATAAATGTTTAAGTCTTGCTTAGATGCAAAGAACAAAGCAACATTATGAATGTGTGGCCTAAATAATTATTTCTTGTATGTACACTGCTCACAAAAATTAAAGGAACACTTTAAAGAAACACATTAAATACATCAGATCTCAATATGAAGTTGGATATCTATACAAAAAATGACAGGGCAATGTCTTAGGAACAAAAGGATGCCAAGTCTTAATGGAAATAAAAGTTATCAGCCTACAGAGGACTCAACTGTGTAGACACCCTAAAATCTGAGTGAAATGAAGATGTGGCAGGCTAGTCCATTATTTCAAAAACTTAATTTCTCCAACTCAAATTGCTTTTCAGTATCTTGTGTGGTCCCCACGAGCTTGTAAGCATGCTTGACAACATCGGGGCATGCTCCTAATGAGACAACGGATGCTGTCTTTAGGCATTTCCTCCAAGATCTGTGTGAGGGCATCCCTGAGCTCTTGTACAGTCTGAGGAGCAACCTGGCGCCGCCTAATGGATCGAAACATAATATCCCACAGATGTTCTATTGGGTTTAAGTCAGGGGATCGTGAAGGCCATTCAATTGTTTCAATTCTTTCATCCTGCAGGTACTGCCTGCATACTCTTGCCACATGAGGCCGGGCATTGTAGTGCATTAGGAGAAAACCAGGACCTACTGCATCAGCCTAAGGCAGTGGTCCGCAAATGGCGGCCCGCGGGCCACGTCTGGCCCGCAAGCCCTCTCTTTGTGGCCCCCAAACCCTGCGCGCACCCTCCACCCCCGACCGGGAGATGTAGGATAGATAGAGCTGAGGAAAATAATCAATGCATGAGATGCGGGCATAAACAATTCTGCATCATAGAAGAGTACCATAATCAATTATAGTGGAATGTAGTTTTGTTATTATAACGGCGGCACCAGCGCAGCATCGAGATCATCGACATATATACTGGACAATTCATTTCCATAGGCTCCAATAACACATTTTTGAGGGGAAATGGGAGGTGGCCACCACCGCCATTTTGACAGTGTCACAGGTTCCATCAAGCCCAGACAATTCCACAAAAGGGAAGAGAGGTGGAGCTGAGGGTGGGGCTGTAAGGTTGGGATCAACTGACGACACCCGGTCGAACTAGCTACAAGCTAACCTGAAACTAATCCAAAGCTAAAGTGGAGGTGGGAGCAGCCAGACCGAGTGTTGTGATGTCGGAAGGTCCGGTCTTGGGGAGGGAGCGGGGTCAGAGCAGCGTAATCATCTGTCTCTTTTATTTAGGGACACGGAGAAGTTAAAAGGAGAGAGAAATAGAAGATAGAAGTTCTTGTTCCACTTTATTCCTTTGTTTCATGATGATAAACTGATGTTAAATTCAGCTAAAGAGAAGCTGGGAGGAAGCTTTGGTTCATTTTAAGTTACAGGAGATCTTGTCTCCTATCTGCTCCTCCAGAGACAGCATGGACATGAGAGTTACATGGTGAGGGTCCCACAGGACAGGTCAGTGCAGTCACACAGCCCGAGCTGGAGGGGGACAGGCGCTGTTCTTTATATTGCAAGCTTGTGTGTTATGTGTATTACAGCCAGCGATCCAAACAGCAGCAGCAACCTTTAATTCTTGTGAGCAGTGTAAATTTACAAAACCAAATAAATCCAACTTGTAATAAACATAACAAAAATGAGTTATGTCTTACCTTTGTAATCATCTATATATCTTTCCTTTAATCCTTGCTTGTCCTTTGAAGATTGAATGTAACATTTGGCTTCATCGATAGGTTTTATTCTTGCTTTCCTTTTGAACATTTTGCCTCTGAAAGCAAATTATAAAACAAGAAATTAGTGAGCATTCTTTGATAATTAAATGGAAGTAAATGGGTCTGACTTAGGCACCCTATGAGATTAACAGCATCACCTAATTTCAAATTAATTTTTCTGATAGCAGACCTCCAGGCCAAGTCTTTGGTGTTTCTGGTCTAAGTAGTAGTATTTCAACTTCAATGGTTTTAATTTGGTCCAGATGCTAAAATACTAAAGCCCTTATTTAACTTTTACATACATCTAATACATAGTTTTAATAAAACACAAATTTTGTTAGGTTTTCAAACTTCCCAAACTCACAACAAGAAGTTTGGAGGAGCAGGTGTGATGCCACTTCATGTTACAACCGAAATAAAGACATTTAAATTATTAACCTAGCTTCATCAACAGCTAGCTAAAGGTTTAACCTCCCATAAATGCGCTGTTTGTATGCACCTGCTTCAAAAATTAACAGGATGGTTTGAAACCGTGAGAGTGAAGTTACAAAGTAGCTACTAGCTAGCGCTAAGCTAGCTGCCTGTTAGCTACTCAGTGACGTCTAAAAACGGGTCTATGTTGACTAATAATGCTCCGAAGCAAATACAGAACATACATTTGGATGTATCAACGCGAATATTAACCTGAAGACACGTCTTATATTTGCAATATTCAAACTACGTTCATGTACTCACCGCAATGGTTTGTCTGTGTTCCTCTGGCCACACGGACTTTAAATGCTGCAAAGCAGGCCTACTTTACGTATGCACCTTACTGTAGGACTGCATTTTACGGCCTACGTCACTGCAGTTTACGGCACAACGTAGGCTACGTCATTCCTCAAACAGGTAACGAACCAAAAACCGAAGTATGAAATCTTCTTTGTTCAATTTTGTATGCAATTTGTTTGTATACTTATCACCTTGTTCAATAAAGTTTTGAAAAAAAAAACGAAGTATGAATATTTATGATTACCAATAAATAGTTTGCTGGTTTGGGCTGTATTTCATAGCTAGTGCTTAAAACTTTGTGGTTGAGACAATTTTAGAAAATACACAACACAAAGTTTTAAAGCTAATACTTAAAACTTCAGTTCTTGTGTGTTTTTAATAGCTTCTGTTTATTTTTTTATTTTTAATATACCTTTATTTTATACTTAATTTTTGTTCACTGTTATGCTATTTTAGTTCTATGCATTATTCTTTACACCATTTTTTCAATTAGAATCATGTAAATATCACTTCCTGAAACTTAAGGAAGTGACATATGTCCTCTAAAAGACAGCCAATCACGATCCATTCTGAACACACTCTATTTCTTAAAATCCACCCTCGAGGGGTCCCGATGATACACACTTCCTGTAGTGTGTATACTTGCAATACCCTGCTTTCAGGCATAGGGGGCGTGCATGAGCACACACACTTCACACACACATTTCCAGTTTTTGTTACATTGTGGGCCACCTTGAAAAAAAGTACCAGGCATATCAAGAGAGGCTCCCAAGCTCTTCTAGAATGGTTTCCCATGTGGGGCCCTGGTTTTTGGGCCCCACAACTACACCGGGCCCCACATTGTTGGTGGGCTCCCTGCGAACGGACCCCCCAACGTAATGACTGCAAGTGCACACACACACACACACACACACACACACACACACACACACACCAACTCCCACCCACCCACACACACACACAACATATATACCAAGTAGTGTTTCTATGGTTACATTGTGATTTCTTAGTAAATATTCTACTTAGTGAGAGATAAACTTTATTGTATTTATCCTAGTGATTCTATTATTAAACGGGTAAACTAGTAGTAGCACATTCAATGTCAAAGAAAGTAAAATGTTATTATCAGGTGAGGGAGAATGTTTAAGCGGTTAGCAGCAGTGTTCAAGCCGATGGCCCCCACCATGAGGCTCCAGCAGAACACAAATGTAGCTTCTTCTGGGGAGAAAAAGACTTAAAGAAAAAATGAAGTTAACAGCTGAAATAGCAGGAAATAATACAGTTAAAGAGCAAATTGTAGAAGAAAGTAGTCGAGTGTGGAAAGTGGTCAGTATGTCCTCCAGCACTCTAAGCCTATAGCAGCATAACTACAGCGATAACTCTGGATAGCCAAGCCTTTTAGATGGGATGCACAGTTGTAGTCCTGGAAGAATTTTCATACCATTCCTCCCATTTGAAAATAAGCACTTTATTGGTATAAGAACGTGTCTTTAAAATTCACGGACATCATATGTGAAATCCATGGCACATAACAAACGGGATTAGAATTAGCTTTTATAGCCGCTGTAACGTGAGGAAATATGAGTTTTCTGTCACAAGGGTGGTGTTGGACTCAGCTGGGTCATAGCTGGGTCGCTGAGAACTTTCACCCACAGATTAAGACCTGAACGCCAGCGAGTCTGGGAGGAAACCATAACATCTGCCACCTGCAGTCTACCAGATGATGTGTTTACATGAGTTGTACCCAGACCAAGTCAAAACATAAAGTTTAAACTTCTTTTTCTTGATTTTAATGTTAAAGTAACCATTATCATTTTGCTCATTATAAATGTGATTAATCAAATGAATGACTATTTAGCTTTGGGGTAATTATAATGGTTTAATGAATCCATTCTTAAATAATGTTGAGAATGTTTGTTACTGACCTTCACACACACTCAAGCACAAACATTCACACACATCCACACACACCTGCTCACAGTAAACTCCAGACACATTTGATGACGCACGTTTGCTTTGAGAAGAGAAAGGTTTTTGGTAAGTTTTTCAGTCTTATGATTCAGTTCGTGTTGGACAACGAGAGAGAACAGACCTGAAAACCAAAGGGGGGGGCAGAGCCGGCTGGCTCGTTCTTTCCCCCCTTTCACGCTGTTTCTGCCAAGCCAGGCAGAATAGCTGAATCGCAACTTCTAACGCAGACTCATTACTGAGTCTTTTGATTTCTGAGTGAATTAACTTAAGAAAGCGCGTCGACAAAACGCTTTACCATCAACGTGTACCGAGGGCAACTCTGGACCGGGTCCGCTCGACACCTCGTCTCCTGTCAGCCGTCGGTGTCATCCGGATGAACCACAACATCCTCCACGGCCCGGATCCGAAAGAGGGTCCACAAGAATTCGGTGAGACAGAACACGGTGTTTAGCGTTTTGATGCATCTTTTCCAACTAAAAGCCTAAGTTTATTCAAACCATCACTTTTCACTCAGACACCTGTTTCTTCCTGAAGCAAAATCAGATGCACGCATCCATCCCATCTCATATCACTCTCACCATCACAACATTCCCAATCTTCATAAATTCATCAGAAGGTCTATTTGAGCCAGAACAGCATATCAACTGTTAAAAAGATTGTCCCACAAAGTTACCAATGTTGATTGCATTTCCTGTTTGTCAATTTCGAAATCATTAGTTTAATTTGAAGAATTAAAACTTTTAAACGTCAAACTGGTTTCCTCACTGAACTGAAACACAGACACTCAGATATTATCGGCAGTTTATGGATGAAAACAACCTTTGAGTCTTCTGAACAATATAAAATTTGGTGATTGATTTATTAAAATTAATATTCCGAATTAATACGTAGCATGGTTTCTCTTTCATAAAAGAGCATAAATCCATAACGCTACATTTAATGGCGAGCGTATCCAGTCTTCTATATCTGCGATATGTCTGATTTCTTACATCTAAAAGCTACAAACAACGCTTTTCTCTGTGTTTCACTTTGATGTCTTATTTTGAACTTAACCGGAAATTGTTCCGCTCACTAAATTCTCCGAACCTCAGAACCGAGACTAAATTCTCGGACACCTTTTGTCTCAGTGTGTTGACACTGTGGGCGAGCTATTGTGGAAAATATCTCCATTGCATGAGCGACTTATAGAAGCCGAATCTGAACGGAATGCCCGTAGGCACCTACTGTTGCTTGATTGCACGGTAAACGTCGTAAGCCGGGTTATGGCCGTCACGCGTTACTGCATTCAGATTGCGTACGTTTTTTAAAGTCCGTATTACAAGCGGGGCGAGATGCCTACTTGTTAATCGGGAAAGTTTAAGTCTGGTCGCTACAGACAAAGAACGCTAGACCTGGCCGGAGAGCTAAGCTAGCACCACAGTTAGACAAAAAGGGAATGCGTCCCGTTAGATTGTCATACCATTTCTGACACAGTCAGTCTGTGTCCTCACAAAACCCGCATTGGCGGTGGTTCTTGTAAATCGCTACGGTGTGTAGAATCTACATTTTGCTACGTTTGTCCGTCTGATAGCATCTCGGCAGCGTAGGGTTTATTATTTTTTTTATTATTTTTATTTTGGACCGGTGATCGGGTCGGCTTTCACAGCCTCCATCGCTCGGATCCATGCCTTTTTCTTCCATCTTGTGAAGTTGTGTGTATTCATTTCTCTATCAACAATTCCTTGTTTTACCCTGTGTCATAAAGTTAAGTTAAGCTACGGACAGTCCTTGTTTGTGTGAGACATATTAAGGAATCTGCCCGGGGTTTTACGTCGGCTCAGAAGGTAAAAACGCGAGTTGCTCTGAACTTAATGGGAGATGGACGAGACACGACAAAATCTTTCTTGCACTGTTACACCTGGTGTAGGGTTCTCTGACGTTCTGCTTCCAGAACATGCCATGACGCAGGAGACTGTTCACCGGCTGGGCAACGCTGGTCCCTCCGCCCGCCCGAACGGGCCCGTTTTAGGCGGGTGCCGCCGGTCGGGAGCAGTGGGGACTAGTGGCTGCGGTTCGGTGCCAGCTGCACTGGGTCGGAGGTGGTTCTGGTCTGCAATTCATGACGTGAATTCAAACAACATGCTGTTTACAGTCATAACGCTTTTTCTTTACTTTTATTTCTTCCAGGGGGTCAAAAACCCACCATCAACATCAAGGTTTGAAATAAACAACACTTTCTCTGCTACTTTTAAGCTGAATAAATCTCTTGAGCCTATGGTTAACCTCTCTGACAAACAGGTTGTGCTTAACCCTTTGGTTCCTAATGCTTCTCCTCTGTCATCCATGTTAAAGGCTGAACATCTCTCCAGCATGGGTGTGAAATCTTCAGGCTGTGACCCACCGCTTCGGTCAGAGGTCTGTTTTACTCGTCAGTCCGCCTCATGCACAAACCAGCGTCTTTATCGGGGAGTGATGGAAACGTCAGCCGCCGTGAAACACTTGTGGTCTCCGGACGGAGCTACCATGCCATTTAAGGGGTTTGTGCCTGGACATCTTGATCTTTATGTGAATGACCTTGTCACTTTTCAGTTTGTGACCTCTGCTAATACGGTGGCCAATTCTTTTCTCCTTTCACAGGGGTGTGACTTAGTCTCGGGCCTCTGTGCTCTCTTTCCTGTGATTTCTCTTACAGGTGACCACGACGACGCAGAAAACCCTGCGGTTTCCAGCAGTCCTGTGGTCAGTGGCGATATTAAAGGTGGCTCGGTGGTTGCTGCGCACACCTCTCTCACGGGCTCGGGAAGGCAACCCGGCCCGGGAGGTGTAGGTGCGTGCAGTGATGCTCTGCTCGGGGCCCCTCCTGACAAAGGGGGGGTGCTGAGTGGCTCTGAGTTTTCCGTTGCGGACTTCAACCGGTTCGGGGGAACGCCTCCTCCGAGCGGGCGGGTCATTGCAGAACTCGACACTGACCTTCCTCCAATTCAGCTGACAACATTGACCTCCGACCCGGAGTTAGGTGCTGCACCTTCTACGGGGCGGAGTTCTAGTCAGTCTGTAAATACTCTGGTTAAACCGGGTTTTTCTGATTCTGTGTGGGAACCTCCATCATTCTTGGGAATAAAGTATTCTTGGCTTCAGTTTTCAGGACAGACCATGTTCCTAAAGCTAGCATCATGTCTGTATCTGATTCTAACCATGGCTAGGTTTGCTTTGACACCCGTGACACAACCATCCTTGGATCACTCCTTTTCAGAACCTCCAAGTCCAACACCTCCGGGTCTTTGGACATCTGACCACCTACTCTTTCAGCACGATTCAGGTGACACTGTGCATCTTCTTGGTAATAGCGCTTTTAAGAGCTTAAGAACTGTTTGTTATGCTTCTCCTGTCTCACAGACACGGCATACGTTTGAGAAACAAAAGGGGGGTGGGGAGCCTCCTCCCGCTTTGCGAGCATCAGTTTCGCCTTTCCAGTTCACTACCATTTCTGATCACAACAAAGTCGCCTCCGTTAAGCTGCAACCCAACTTTGAGCAGGTAAAATCAGGTTCTGATTTAACAGCTAAACCATCAGCTTCACTCCAGTTCCAAACGGAACCCTCAGGTAAATTCAAACATGTTTCCCTGTGGGTCCGTAACACAAGATACAAACGGTTTGTTAACCAAATCGCTTATGAGCCTGCTCCCACAGATACGTCCAAACTCGTGTCTCTGTGGGTCCGCAATACCAGATTCAAAACTCTATTCGGACCGACTCTATTCTGACCGGATTCTTTTCCACTGACTGGTGGACCATTACAAATTCTCTCGTTTGTGGGATGAATTTTTAACAAATGTGATATCCTTTGGGTTTTTTTTTTCAGGTTACCTGCCTCCAGCCAGGGTCCTGTTACTAACTCACATCTTTAGGGATTACTAACCTACTGATTTACATTTTTAGAACTGATTTACATCTCTATCTTTTTATTAGTGCTTTGTGTAGCATGATTATATTTGATTACAAAGTTAATTTTATTTTGTTACTATTTCCCTTAAAGGGCCACAAGCCAATTTGCCCTTCATTTTCATGATTATTTCTTTTATATATATGCCTTTAATTAGTGCAGCCTGCTGAGTTTCACATATCAGTTAGGATTTACTTTTTTTTATTTGTGTTTTCTCTGCATCACGTTTTTACATGACATGTAGAACAGGGTGCAGAACATTTCTTCTTTAGATAATTCACAGAAGGCATCCACATTTTCCCAGAGGCACCCATAGATAGGTTTTGATTGATTTCTTTGTTTTGCATCAAATGCTATCTATCGTGTGGGCTGTCTCACTTTGTCTCCTTCTCCGAGCTCGTATGGACTACATTCCATCAGAGGGGTCGTCTTCACCATCCTTCAACTGGTTTCCTGTCGCATGGGGCTTCGGTCGTGGTTCGAGATGGGTCGAGGTCTGCGCCAGACTTCGCCTGGACTACGCCTGGGGAATACATCACCTGCCCAGCTCCGTGTGACACACGAGCTGCTTATCCTTTGAATACCTTTGCATTGTTGCTGATGAAAATTAACTGCTATTGAAATAGCTCTGCTTTCAAGATTCCCTAAGTGGATTACTTTACAATGATTGAAACGATTTTGGCCTTAATCATCTGATCAGGATAGACTCCCTTCTACACGAGACCTGTGGTGACGCTTCATCGTTCCTGCCTTCATCTGGGATGTCTACCTTCACGAGTACATCACGTTATTGTGGTTGTGACGTCAGGTGGCCTCTGCTTGACCTCCATGTCGTCACAAAAGGGGGGAATGTAACGTGAGGAAATATGAGTTTTCTGTCACAATGGTGGTGTTGGACTCAGCTGGGTCATAGCTGGGTCGCTGAGAACTTTCACCCACAGATTAAGACCTGAACGCCAGCGAGTCTGGGAGGAAACCATAACATCTGCCACCTGCAGTCTACCAGAAGATGTGTTTACATGAGTTGTACCCAGACCAAGTCAAAACATAAAGTTTAAACTTCTTTTTCTTGATTTTAATGTTAAAGTAACCATTATCATTTTGCTCATTATAAATGTGATTAATCAAATGAATGACTATTTAGCTTTGGGGTAATTATAATGGTTTAATGAATCCATTCTTAAATAATGTTGAGAATGTTTGTTACTGACCTTCACACACACTCAAGCACAAACATTCACACACATCCACACACACCTGCTCACAGTAAACTCCAGACACATTTGATGACGCACGTTTGCTTTGAGAAGAGAAAGGTTTTTGGTAAGTTTTTCAGTCTTATGATTCAGTTCGTGTTGGACAACGAGAGAGAACAGACCTGATAACCAAAGGGGGGGCAGAGCCGGCTGGCTCGTTCTTTCCCCCCTTTCACGCTGTTTCTGCCAAGCCAGGCAGAATAGCTGAATCGCAACTTCTAACGCAGACTCATTACTGAGTCTTTTGATTTCTGAGTGAATTAACTTAAGAAAGCGCGTCGACAAAACGCTTTACCATCAACGTGTACCGAGGGCAACTCTGGACCGGGTCCGCTCGACACCTCGTCTCCTGTCAGCCGTCGGTGTCATCCGGATGAACCACAACATCCTCCACGGCCCGGATCCGAAAGAGGGTCCACAAGAATTCGGTGAGACAGAACACGGTGTTTAGCGTTTTGATGCATCTTTTCCAACTAAAAGCCTAAGTTTATTCAAACCATCACTTTTCACTCAGACACCTGTTTCTTCCTGAAGCAAAATCAGATGCACACATCCATCCCATCTCATATCACTCTCACCATCACAACATTCCCAATCTTCATAAATTCATCAGAAGGTCTATTTGAGCCAGAACAGCATATCAACTGTTAAAGAGATTGTCCCACAAAGTTACCAATGTTGATTGCATTTCCTGTTTGTCAATTTCGAAATCATTAGTTTAATTTGAAGAATTAAAACTTTTAAACGTCAAACTGGTTTCCTCATTGAACTGAAACACAGACACTCAGATATTATCGGCAGTTTATGGATGAAAACAACCTTTGAGTCTTCTGAACAATATAAAATTTGGTGATTGATTTATTAAAATTAATATTCCGAATTAATACGTAGCATGGTTTCTCTTTCATAAAAGAGCATAAATCCATAACGCTACACCGCAATGACTTGCATTCATCTTTTTGTTTGTCTGGGGACCCAAGGTCCGGAAGTGGATGGACGTAGCTTAGGCTCCCTGTAGTGGATGGGTGCCTTTCCACTGGTCGCGAAGCATTACAAAATGTTTCTACAAAGACTTCCCTCTGACTGCTGTCTACTAACTCCACACAACTCCAGTCCAAAAAAAAATCTTTAAGATGTGTTCAGACATTACACGTAAAATTCAATTCCCAAACCGTATTTTCTCCAAATAATTCCAACACTTAAAGTTGGCCTATGCCCAGCTAATGAGCCTGTACTGTATGCATCTAGTTTAGGTTTCCGTATTGGAACATTTACTTTGTGATTTCTTCGGTCAAAGGATAAATGTGCCTTTTAGCTCCAGTTGCATCAGCATGCACACCCACTCATGCCTTTGCACGTAGCATCTGAGCACAAAAACATTGTGTTCTCTCTGAACACAGCTTCATATGAGATGAATAATGATAAAACACATCCGGGTGATATGCAACACAAACATTTATATATTATAAACATAATGAGCACTAAGACCATTTTATATTATCTCTTGCTTCTTTTGGATGCTTAGACTTGTTTACATCCCTAACTTGGGAAAAACACTCCAAATATCAAATTGGATAACTGGTGAAGATGAGTTTTTTTTTTAATAAAAGTAGTTCACTTATCAGCCTGAAACACTGAACAGATCATAATTTTGTAGTTATCTTTCACCATTCTTTAAAGGAGCTTCAAGTCGTTAGCTGCAGCGCCTGTTAGGCGTCTGACACGAGCTGACGACATGATTGGCTGCTTCGACAAGCTGTTAACTCGCTCTCTGGCATCAGTGTGCTTCCTGCCTCACTGACAGCAGCTCAGACTTGGCTAGCTGGGTCCCCGTTCCACCAACTGGGACAATTATATAAGACTTTCAAGAGGTGGGAATGCATGAGTGAGCAATGGCATCTAACTGATGCTCTCCCCTCCCACCCTCGGCTCCTCTTGTATGCGTGACCAACGGGAAAGTTCACAGACGAATCCTATTAGTTTATCACCACAACTGTTTACAACTTAAGAATTATTTAAAAGGTTGCTACTCACCCCAAGCTCCGTAACCAGGATGTCGGTGATGCTGCCCAGAACTGTCACACAGTCAAAAATATTCCAGGCGTCTTTGAAATAATTCTGACGGTGTTTTCATAAAAACAGGGGAAAAGGGAAGAGAAGGAGTGCAAGAGAATGGAAAACAGCCCAAAAACAAAAGGACGAAAGGCAAGTAATGACAAAAAAATAAAATAAATAAACAACGTGGTAGAAGGTGAAAAAAGACCAAATGAGATAAATATCGACAGAAAACCAAGGCAGGGTAATAAGATAGAACCGACAGATCATATTGAAGTAATGAGGAAAAACGATACAGCATGATTGAAATGATAACGGCATGAAAAAAGAAAAGGTTATGAATTAGAAAACGATGAGGAGGAAGACAAAATGAGCATCAGGGAGAGCGAGAGAGAGAGAACAAAAAAGTGGGGGGAAAAGAGACATGTCAGATTGGGTAGGAACAGGAAGACATCAGATAAGACAAATGGACCATCAGTGTCGGCCTTTTGGACAGAATCCAGCAGACAGGCTAAGGACAAATTGTGCTGCATCAGACAAGAAGAGCAGCCAACAAGCTTCACACTTGGTACGTATTATTCTACCGCACAAAGTTTCTAAATTCATGTAACAGGATTACTAATGTCTGACTCACTAAATCATGTCTAACTTACCCTCCATTTACAGAATAAAACTCTAAAAGCATAATCTAGTTTTAACGTCTGTGATCAGAAATCTGAGCAATTCAGAAAGAAAGACTCGAAGATGTTGGGGACAAAGCTCTACTTCTGCTTTCCAACACATTGCCTGTAGCCAAACTGTGCATTAGACATGTGGAGGCCTGAGATGAGAGAGGAGAGGCGGCTTTGAAAAAAAGAAATGTAACTGTGGGACGGCGTTATTTGTGTCTATGACATCCATACTGATTTGTTCCAACACCCTCTTCAAGATTCAAATCTTCTACTTAATTACCGCCCTCTGTGTAATCTTTCTATTTCTTTCACAAATGTGTCATTCACTCCCATTTCTCTTACAACTGCTCCCCTCTGGCTTGTATCTCATCCCACTATTCATCTCTCAAGTATGTTTTCATGTCGGTTTTCTCTTGACATTTATTGTTAATGTTGGAATGTTTGCTCCTTATTTTGTTATAGTTCTAAACTTTTGTACTTTGTGCTTAAAATTATTTTATTTTAGTACTTGAACAACTTTTGAACTTCATTATTTTTATTTTAGTTTCTAGAGTTTTCCATTTGCTAGAAAAAATGTAGCTCTTTTAAAATATTTTTCATTTTTTTTAATCTCAGGTAAACTGTAGGATACAAATCAAAGTGAAAGGCGTACACCCTTCTAGAGGACACGCCATGCCAGCAAATCGGCATAATACTGCCGCCACGGTGTGTCTTATGAATCCGCCGTGGCGGCATGGCGATGAGGGAGTGTTGCGGCATTCGTGCCGCCACGCTTAGTAGTAATATTACCGCAATACCGGACTTATGAATGCATATAATGCCTTGGTGCAACAGAGGGAGGTATCATGATCCCGTGGGGAGTTACTGCCGAGCTCAGGAAGGGAACTATATAAAAAATGAAAGTAAACACGGGCTGCAAGTTTTGCTTTTGTAATCAGAATCAGCTGACATGGTAAACTGGAGCAACACAGCACTCCCAGAGCTTTTCTCCATTAAACTGTAGCTGGAGCTCAGATAACTAGAGGCTGCACAGGGACTGGAGGACAAACACCTTTAGGAGCTGCTTGTAAAAAAAAAAACGTTATGAACATGGCTTCAATCGCAATAAACAGCAAGTTATGTCTAAGATAAACGGAAGTCTGCGGCAGCACAGAGACTGCCCCCATGCCAGCTTTATACCGCCATCAACTAATCTTTTGTAAAAAGGACACAATTGCGCAACATTACCGTCCTGGTCTGACCACCAATAAATGACCCAATGCTCTGTGATGCCGCCAGGGCTTTGCGGCAAACTGGCGGTATTGTTTCCTAAAATAGGTCAGCTACTCAGGTGAGGCCAATGGCTTTACAATGGGTCAAATTCAAAGTTTAGGACTCAAGACTTGCAAACCTTTGGATGTGTCTGGACTCAGGATTTGAGACTTATGACTTACAAAACTTGGTTCCACACAACTAACTAAGGTCTTTGGACAACCAGCTGGACAAACTAACATGCAGTTCAAGTGAGGCAAATGTAAAGTGGATGTCTGCCATCATAAAACAACACCAAGGTAAAACATTTTCATAGTAGAACATAAAAAAATTCTGTTATATTAGCCTTTCCAATGACATGATTACTTCAGCAAAAACATGACATTCATAATGCACTGGAAGAGCTAAAGGTGGCTGCTACTACTGTGTTTGCTAATAACAATACATTTTAAAGAGACAGTGTCTATTTTTCCTGGCGATAGGGGGCAGTAGATACCTAAATCATTGCAAACAAGTAGTATTTTTGTGTTGGAGTAAGATCTTACCAACGGATGCCCATTAGGGTCAAAAAGCCCAGGGTAGTGCAAACTTCAGCAAAATGACAAGCACATCAGACTTCCTTTCATTACTGGCAACGGGTAAAGAGGTCAATGTGTAAAACAACAACTTTTAAGAGTGGTGAACATTTTGTAACCGTTTAAATGCATTTTGTCCTCACAGGCTCCCATAGAAGGAAACATGGCATCTAATATGGCATTACTCAGACCCGCTCCCATGTATTTAAGACCTGATTTTTTTTGGTTAAATGGTGCAAAGCTGCCAATATTTTTCAACAAATAATTGTTTAATTAATTTTCAACAAAATTTCTATGGATATTTCCAAAGATAACGATAAAAACTACACATTGCCTCTTTAAAGGGGACATTTTATGACTTGTTTTTCTTAAAGAGATCCTTCACTCATATTTTAATACATTTGCAGTAGTCTGTAGTAGGAATGAATGCCTTGTAAAAAGAAAACTCAAATGTGCCTGTTTCAGCACGGAGGATTCAGCTGGAGGAGGAAGTAGCTTCAGACCACAGGATTTTGAGTTTCATTTCCTGATATTTTGACATCTCCCCTCAGATTGGCTAACAGCAACATGACTCTGCCACTGACTGCTCTTATAACGTTGATGTTTTATCTCCACAAATAACACAAGCCTGAAGGAGTTCTGCTGTGTGGTGGAGTTGCTAATGCTAACGGTTAACTTCTATTAGGGAGACATTCTCTGCTGTTTTCCTGGATGGTAAAACAACAACTGTCTTCCTTGTCGCGAGTCAAGATGGGTGAGTACATGAATGTTCCAACAGTGTGACGTAGATCTGTCAGGCTTTTCAAATCCTGGAGTTTCACCATCTATTTTCCATTAGCTGCTAATGAAGGAGATAGGTGTAGAAGGCTATGTTTACGTTCAGTCTGCATGTTGAATTCAGAGAAAATCACTTTCAAAATTAAGTAAAAAAATGGTATTTCAGTGAAGGACCGCTTCGAGATAGAGTAGTTCTGTTTGGCCAAACAAAACATTTTAATACATTTCTTTGCACTAAATCCCTCTAACACAAAATAATCCAAACAGGTTTTATTCTTGGCCAACCCTTTTATACATGGCAACACAAAAGGATACGAAAGGTGAGTTTAGCATAATTTGTTCCCTTCAATGTAAGTAACATAATGTAAAGTTGCAAATTTTGTAAAATGTGTAACTTGGAGTTGTTTTAAAATGCCAGCTATCTTATTTATTTATTTATTTATTTTTGCCTTGCATGAAATAGTTGTTAGCTTTTAAGTCTCATCAGAACAACTTTGTTTCTTCAAACTGAGGTCATTTAAAGGATTTAAGATACAAATTGTTCATAAGAATCTCACTGTAAAATATTTAGTTAGTTATATCATATCAAAGAAGCAGAACGTTGGTCCATTTGAATCAGAGGAAAGAAGTATTTTAGCAGTTTGGTATCTTAGAAAAATAATTTCAGTCCTTTAGAGCTTTATTGTCTCAAATGTTTTCAATGGAACAATGGCAATCATAGAATGAAGAAGAAAAAAGCAAGAGGTCTATCAATATACCATTTGGCAACTATTTGAAGGTAGTAAAAACATGGCAACAATACCTGATTATTATTTCAGCAATAGAGCATTTCCTTCTCACAAAACACTCACCAGAGCTCCAAAGGCAATGATCTTGAGTACACACTCCAAGGAGAAGAGAGAGGTAAACACTATGTTCAGGTTGGCTAGCACGTTTTCATAGGTGAGAGATGCTCCGTCATACTGCAAACACACACACACACACACACACACACACACACACACACACACACACACACACACACACACGCACGCACACACGCACAGACACACACACACACAAACACATGCACGCACGCACGCACAGACACACACACACACACACACACGTGCACACACACACACACACACACACACACACACACACACGCACGCACGCACGCACAGACACACACACACACAAACACATGCACGCACGCACGCACAGACACACACACACACACGTGCACACACACACGTGCACACACACACACACACACACACACACACACACACACACACACACACACACACACACACACACACACACAGGAAGTGTTCATAAATTAAAGATACAATAACACAGTTTAGCATGCAGCTTTAAACTGGATAATTGTAAAAGCAACATCCGAATCATTATAAATTATTTGATTGTTGTACAAGGTAGAGACAGAAAGTCAGAAGCTCACATATGAATTCATAATTGAGGCCCTGATACTTCTGATTGATCTGTTCATGGGTAGACAGCCCTGAATACATGTGTGAATGTAAACCTGGATTAGATCGGATTTCATTCAGCAACACATTCTCACACCTGAAGCATCGAAAAATGACGCTGTGTGAGATGGGTGTGAGAACGTGTTACATTCAGAGACATTCAGGATCAATTTAACCACATTTATTTAGTGGTCTAAACTCAAATCTGTCTGTGACCATTCAGAGGAACTACCTACTGATCTTTCAACTCTATACAAGCAGTAAAGTTATCTCAGGGCCATTTCTAGAAGGCTTGGTTCACAAGGCAGGATTTAAAAACATGAGAGACCCGGTCCTACAGTGTGTGGTGTGGGGCACAAGCCCAAAACTACAAAGCACACACTCACAAACATCCCCAGATTAGACTGGAAATCTTGCAAAACCTCTCAAAGTTGGAGGAGCACACAGCTTGCTTGCGTCACATTTCTTTCTGACTGGCTACACGTCGCATTCAACAGGCTGCATGCCTGGTTGTCCTTGTAATCGGACAGAGACAATCCAACTTGTTGAATATCCCTGATTTATGATCCAGTGTTTCCCTCCTATAGGCTTTACCGTGGCGCTGCGCTACAGCTGAAATTGTAGCACCATGCCTACAACCCCCCACCCCCACTCTTACGGCTAATGTACGGAAGCAAAATGATCCCCCCCCCCCCCCCCCCCCCCCCCCCCCCAGGTCAACTAGCACTATGGCTGGAAACATTTCTAGGGGAAACATTGCAATCCGAGCAGTCCTGTCGTCCTTCAGAGCAGACCAGAGTGCTCCAAACACACCACAGATGGCAGGAATATCAGATAAGATTTAGATGGGTTGGGACTAAGTTTACCTGCTGTAAACACTGGAACCCTCTACTTCATCATAATGTTTTGTTTTGTGTAAACCATAAAATAAGAATCTAAGGTACTTTTGGGAAGCAGATTTAAAGAAGCATTGGATAAGACTTTTGTTCAGATTAGTGCAGCAAGCAACATGGATCTGATCGTACTTTGTGCATTTTGCAGCCACGCATGAAGACTAGTACTTATGGCTGTTCACTTGGAACCAGATCAGTGTGAATATATGCTAGTGCCAGAGCATAACTTGTAATGACTTTACCTTCATCATCAGAACTATGGTGTTGAGTGCAATCATAGCCATGATCGTGTATTCAAACGGTGGTGACACCACAAACTCCCACATCCGATACTGAAAGCTCAGCTTGTTCTGAGGCATGTGGCGTGTCAGAGGCTTGGCGTTGATGGCAAAGTCTATACAGGCTCTCTGTCCAAAACAGGTGAATGCTGTGGTTAATTCTCACTGTTCTCCCACAATCTAAATCTCCTTAACTGCTTCAAAATGTTGCTCACCTCATTCTTTTCTAAACTGTAATCCTCCATCATTTTGTCTCCTTGTTCTTGGAAGGTGATGATAATGAGAGCAACGAAAATGTTGACGAAGAAGAAGGGGAAGACCACGAAGTACACCACGTAAAAGATGGACATTTCCATCCGGTATCCCGGGCTTGGGCCCTGATTCTCATAGGTCGCATCCACTGAATGTTTTAGCACCCTGCAGCAACACAAACAGACAGATGGGGGTTACTGGGTTTCGGAAACAGAGGCACACCTTAGATGACCGTGCACATGTAAGCTAACTTACTGCGGCCACCCCTCTCCAGTGGAAACAGTGAAGAGGGTGAGAAGGGCCCAAGCCACGTTGTCATAGTGGAAATCGTATTTCTTCCACTCCCGCTTCTGCGCCCTCACTTCGTTATCACGTTCATACACCAAATACTCGCCTCTGAAAAACACGTCATCAACCACAGTCAAATGGAAAACTTGCTCTCAAAGGTGTACATTATTGTTTTCTAGGCCGACACTGAAAATATGAAAGTGAGATCAAATCAAGTATTATGCTGGTGACAAGAACATCTCTCAATCTAGATGAATACAATCAGCATTTCTGACCTGCAGTCACGCTCAAACTCTTTGGATTCATCAGTGCAGTAAAAGAAGCGCCCTTTGAAGAGCTGCACAGCCACCACCGCAAAAATGAACATGAAGAGTAGGTAGACAATCAGGATGTTCAGCACATTCTTCAGAGAGTTCACCACACAGTCAAAAACGGCCTGAGGGTGGTGGTAAACAGTAGCAAGGAGAAGAAAATGGTTACAGAAAATACAATTAGTTTAGGTATTTTACTCAATGGAAAAGAAAGTGGTCAAAATTAAGATTACCCAAGCATTTTATCACCTACAGTATATTCAGCTTATTAGACAAAATGTGGGTGGACTGCAAGACATTTGGAAGACCTTCAGTCATGAAGTTTGCGAACTATGCTTTCCCTGGTTTATCTGTGTCTCTGAGACTTTTCATGAGCCCTCGACACACTCTAGACCCTTGGAACTTCCTAACACAATATCACACAGTACAGTACTGTGCAAAGGGTTTAGGCATCCATGAACAAAATGCTGTAAACAAAGGATGATTTCATAAGTATTGATTTTTTTTAAATCAATGATACAGCTAAAGTCATTCAGAACTATCTCCAGCGTTGTGAAGAACAAGAATGTTTAATAGCCTGTAGTTGATCAATCAATCAATCAATCAATCAATCAATCAATACTTTATTAATCCCAGAGGGAAATTAGAGTTTCAATACACACAATTCAGAGATCAGACATACATGGGCAAGACACATGACAAGAATTAGTGACTGTGGTCATTCGCAACCCGAGTCGCGCTACCTTGATAGAGATAAGAGGGTTACATGAGGAAGTGGTTCAGGTGGAGGGAAAAAAAGGCACTTCACAGCTACCCTCCCACCAGGAGGGCAGCTTTGCTCTGCAAAAAAACACCTCAACAGATATGCAACAGACTTCAGACAACACAACATGAGACTCCAATAGGAAGGTGGGAGTGGGGGTGGGGTGGGGGGTGGGGGGGGGGGGGGGGGCTGGTATCCTGTTTCCCCCAGCGAGAGCAGCCATCTACGGCGCTCAGCCACTGTAAAGTCACAGGTGGGAGGGAGATCTTGGGAGAAGCGCAGAGCACATTGACTCCTGCAGGTTGATGACCTTGCCAGGCTGAAGTCCACCAATCCGAGGGTGGGGGTTGGGGGTGGGGGGGTGGGGGGTGGGGGTAGGTTGGGTTTTCACAGCATCTGTCTGCAATCCTTCGTGGGGGTTTGTTGCCACTCAAGGCTACCAGGGCATCAGATTCGGATAGCAAGAATTTGTTTGGGTCAGGCTGAAATAATTTTTCTCTCTGCCTTCGGTCTTTAAACTGATCATTCCAGTCCTTCAGTGAGGCCAATTTCGGGTTTTTAAACCTGTCCATACCATCCGTGACTCTCTCCGAGATGACATCCATTTTGCGCACTAATACCTGTATCGTAGCTAGAACATTGTCCAGCCTACGATTAACCTCGAGTAACGTCCCAGTCTGTGAAGTCTCCACACGGACGGTGCTTTCCGTGGGTGTGGGTCGCCATCCAATCGCTCTTGTCTTCCCAAATTTCCAGAAAACCAGATTTCCTCCCACTCCAATCAGGAGAAATCCCGTGATCGTCAGGCCGAAAATCCACACGTCTTCGATATCCTCAATGGACAACTGGGAGAGGCATATGATCTTCCACTCCCTCCAGGAATCCAGCATATACCCCAACGGGTGTGTCCCCTGTGAAAATGTGGGAGCCCCCTGCTCCGTTCTCTTTGTTGAAAAAATCTTATCAATCGCATTGAATGACCAATGTATCAAATCCATGGTTAAATAGGGTTTTTCAGAAGAAATGCAGAGAAGCGCTCTGTGGGCAGACAGGACAAAGAGCCTTGGGAATAAAAGATAAGGGAGCGAAAAGAGAAGCGTCTGTACTCCACGAGTGCCAAGAAGAAAAAAAGACCTTCTAGGGTTCTATAGCTCCTCAAGGTGCTTCACAACAAAATCTGTCATTCACCCATGCACACACATATTCAAACGCTGGTTGTGATGAGCAACAACATAGCCACAGCGGTGCATTGACAGAAGTGCTTAACACAGGTGCCACTAGTTCTTCCCCACCACCACCAGCAAGCAGGCAAGGCAGGTTAAGTGTCTTGCCCAAGGACACAACGATGGCAACAGATGGGACTCAAACCTACAACCCTCCAGTTATGGGGCGGGCAACGATGATAAGACATAAGGGCTCTGTGGGGGCTATACATCACTTCCAACATGCTTCACCCAGTACTCCAATACCTGTGATCACTCTATGAAAGTCTGGTGTGCATTCAAATCAATCTTTAAGGTTCCCTACTTGATTACACATGAAGAGAAGCCCCTTACATTCGTAATATGTACTTGAACACCATAACCCTGCAAAGACCACCCACATTATTGATTTTTCTTTCATTTTTATATCTAAGCATGACATCATTGTTTGTTTTTTAGGAACTGTTGAGGTAAGCATACTGTTCATGGACATACCTTGAGTTTGGGAAGACGCTTGATAGTCTTTAAAGGACGTAACACTCGCAAAACCCTCAGGGACTTGATTGTACTGATGTCTTTTCCTTTACTGCTCCCCCTAGACACACAACACACACTTTTAGCAGGTTCAAGTGTACTCAACTACTTCAGCCCTCTTGACTCCAAAATGGCAGTAGGCAGCCATTCCTTGATGGCATTTGGTCCGAGTTATCTCAAAGTGAGAAACTGCGTCTGGGTTAAATACATAGCAACACATGCAGTTTTGCTTCTATATGTGACATTAGCACTGTTGCTACATGCTAAAGGTTTTATAACTACAGTACATGCTGACATCATTCCTATCAGATGTACGTCTAACTACGTTTGTTCATATATTTCAGTGCTTTGCACATGTGGCTACAGCTTCAGCTCGAACATGCCCAGCCAGTGGTGAAATATATTCATGCTGCAGTGAAACCTTGCTTTCCATGCTGCAACATTTCTTCTTTTTAGCAGCAGTTTGAGTGATGGAGACATTTAGAGAGAGTTTAGCTGTAACCTCAGCGAGACATAAATAACACCACTGCTGACTATAAAAAAGTAGAGTGCCTTCCTCACTGCACAAAAAAGGTTAAAATTATGCTTCATGTCTACGGCAGGCCATATTTTAGAGTTATCGCTGCTTCTAAAGGGGGTACACATCGACACACTGACAGCCAAACTCTCTCTTTTTTGTCCACATCTGTAGAAACTTTGGAGAACTACTTCGATTAGCTTTTTTGCAACATTGTTCAAACAACATGGAATATTGTTTTCAAGATGCTATCACGAGCTGCCAAGTCAAACTTCTTTCTAAGTCAGTTAGACAATGACACATTTCCTGCTGCAGTCAGACATTTAGACACACTAGTCATCCGCATGGCTGTCATGTCAATTTTAGGCATTTTTTAGGGTATTTATTTCAACCATTATTTGATCAAAGTGGAATATTTTACAGTACTTTTAAGAAATTTTAAAGCTTTTGGGGACAGATCGGGTTGAGATCAAGGCTTTAGGATGTTTAAAGTCAACCTACTGGGTTGTGTTTGGGATTATTGTTCCATTGAGACAATCTATGTATTCCCACCACATGATGTCACATTGCCATGCTTGGAATGTTGCACACACTTCTTAAGGCCAAAAGCCTGGTCCTAACAAGCAAACATTCTTCTTGGAATTGCCATGAAACCTTTCTGTAGGAGAGATTTGACTTGTTTGCAAATTTCATCCAAATTTGAGGATGTTTCTTTTGAAATAGGAGCTTCTTTTTTGATCAGAGGCCTCTCATGAACAGAAACACTGGTGATCCAGCAGGTTCCAGTTCATTGTACATATTGGGCCACAATAAAACCTGAGACGTGCTTCCACATCCTAACTAATATTTTTACATCTAACAGCTGATTTATACTTCTCCATCTACGTAGGTACATAGACACACAACGCCATGATGCGTCGACGCAAGGGCACTGCGACAGGCCCACAGAGGGTCAAGGAGACATGCCCAAATTTTTAATTGTCATCAAAAGCGAATGTAGCACCTCTATCCTAACTGAAGTTGAGATACTCACATTTACCTAGGTTCTATAGGAGCAACACTCAAAAAGGGGGCAAGTGCTAGGTTGAACAATTAACATTTATTGCTGCACGACAAAATTTTTGACAGCTCTGCTGTAACTCTCAATGAAAATTAAGGAGCCACAAGAAAAGAAAAAAAAAAAAAACCAAATCAGTCCATTCGATTGAGCTCAACCGGTTAATAATTTGGATTCCAAAATGTGTGTGTGTGTGTGTGCTGTTCACGTTGTCCTCCAGTATTACTACCCCTACTACCCGGGTAGGTTGCTAAACGTGAGTGTCTTATCTGTGATCAGTGGATTGTTGCAATAATCCAAGGATTTCTGGGCAGGATGCGCGGCTGGCCACAGCGCATCACCAACTGCCTTCAGGATCACTGGGCTGGGCTCGCCATCCAATCTTCCAAATCACTGACAGTTCTGATCATCCGGACAGAGGAAAAAACCAACCGGAGTTTCAAGCAGTTAAAAGAAAAGGTAACTCCTCCTGGTCTCACACTCTGGTAATATTCATCACATCCCTCGTTCAAAATAGTCAGGTCTTTGTTTTATTCACAACACTCTGTTGTTTGTTTGTCGTTCTAAGTTAATGTCTGTAGCCGTCCGCCTTATGTCTCTCTCTCTGCACGTCTAGTGCTGCTGGCACTCGGCTCTTCTAACCAGGAAGTGATGTCCTGTGGAGTAAGCGCTTAACATGTCAGACTACGTGGATTAGTCTTATATCCTGACTTTCTACATGGGTTACACGAAGGAGACCACAACTTGTGAGTGGTCAGGGCAGCACTTCCTTTGAATCTGTCCACAGAATCCTCCTCAAGATACCTAGCGGCAGGCACGGGGCAGATTAACGAATGTCTAAAAGAACGTCAGACGATACAAAGTTTCATACACCCGTGACTGAAGGAGTTAAAGTATATGCAGCAAACTGTTATTTGTGAATGAAAATGACAGAAAACGTGGGTTTAGAGGTGGCGACTGTATGAAGAGGTAGAAGAGAATTACAGATGAATTTGTCTGTGTTGCAAAGTCTGTCTTATAAAACTATCGTGGACCATAGAAATGACTGAAATGGTGGCAGGGTACCCCCAGAAAAGTGCTACGCCCTCTGTTGCCCTGGTGAGGAATTGCTTCGCAACACTCCTCAGGCAACAGAAAGGAAAGACGGAAAGAAAAATGTCTCCAACAAGGAATGTGCGCGACTCTACATCCAAGCTGATGGAGACGTATTAATCAGAATTTAGGGTGGAAGACGGGATCTTATTCCAGACCTTTGTAACGTAACAACAAAATGTATTTACAATCATTTAAAGTGAAACTCATAGAATCATATGTTAATAAATGGCTCCAGAAAGGTCACAAGCTGATTAAGTCTACAAATATAGGACTTTTGAGGATTTCTGTTACATAAATATTTTAAAATGAACATTCCCCCCCCCAAAAAAAAATACAATTCTAATAATTTTTTTAAGCTACGAAATAAAACTTTCATGCACACAAGAGTGTATATAAATGTCTCACTGCAACCGTAAACAAATTAATCTGTGAAACACTGGAAAGTTATAAAATGACCCGATATCACACAGCACTGGTGAACCTCTGAGCACACACTGGGACTCATTACAACAGTTTCAAACCCTGATTTAAAAAAATTCTCCCACATTAACCCTCAGGCAGAAGAGTTTAAGTTCAAAAGTTGCTAAAATGATCCTTATAGGAGACCGCATATCCACAGCTGCCTGGTTTTTACAGCGGTCACACCAGAGGGTAGACTGTTGAAGGTTACATACAAGTGTGCACATCTATTTGTGTGTGTGTGTGTGTGTGTGTGTGTGTGTGTGTGTGTGTGTGTGTGTGTGTGTGTGTGTGTGTGTGTCTTGTTCCCTTCACATTAGCATCTTCCAAAACATTTCTAACGTCTTCACGGTATTTCTGTCTGCATTTACTTCACTGATCATCTGCTGTGATGAACTCTCCATCGGTGCATTATGTCACTTTGCATCAGTGAGCTATGATGCAGGTTAATGTGAGATTTAGTTGCATTTAAAAGCAGAGTAGTTCCATGGTGAGCAATGGGCTGGTACATGTTTCAGCTGTAACACAGACGGATGTGGAGGATACAGGAGGATGATCAGAAGAACAAATGCCAAGAGTGCAGAGAGAAAATGAGGAGAAAAGCAAGGAGACACAGAGAACTTTACCCGCCGCCGCTGTTGGGGATCCCAATGAAGAGATGAGTAAAGAGTGTAAGACAAGGAGACGAAGGAAGGAGAAGACCAAAGACCAAAGGTGGGAGAAAAGACAGAATGGGACACAGAGAAAGGAAGCAAAACATCCATATGAGCGACTGAGTCAGGGAGAAAAGAGCACAAGGGCCTAAAACCGAGACCCCCCCCCCCCCCCCAAACATAAAAGTAAATAAACATTTCATTAAAATATCTCAATCAGCAAAACAAATCAGGTTAAAGCCCAGAAGTTCTCAACATTCCTGCACAGAAAGCTATTAAAAATAAATGTAGCATTATCAACAAGAAGAATATGAACCAGAAAGTAACTGGAGTATAAAAAGGAACAGCAGGCAGTAAAAGTGACAAAAGGCGATGCAGCTCCCAGACCTGACTGACTGGATTAAAGGAGTGATAAACATCTCCAACGAGTCCACCGATCCTTCTAGAGTGCTCTTTGATTTCCAGCAATTGAATTAAGTATTTATCTTGATGAGTTTTGGTCTGACTGGTTCTCTGTAGCCACTAGTGTGGTAGACGTCAGCTGTGGTTAAAGCAGGCTCATGAGCAAAATCCCTGGGAAACTGTTGAGCTTTTGAGGAGATTTGGCAATAATTTAAGTACAGTAACGATTAAGAGAGAATAGAGAGAAACACAAAACTGGCCCACTTACACAATGAAGAAGAATGTTAGAGAAAAACACACAAATATGTAAGGATGATTCTGAAAGAATGAACACAAAACTGTCCTGTAGAGCACCTGCCTTCTTCTAAGACTGGAAAAGCTAAAACAAACAAACAAACAAACAAACAAACAAACAAAAAAGCTGTGGAACCACTGGAAAAACGTTCAAACTGTTTTTACAGAAATATTTGGCAGCTGATGCCAAAAGGTTTTCAATTTCATTCTTCATAAATTGTGAGATAAAACTTTAGGAATTATTATACGGAAGAAGATTAGTGGCACTGAAAAGAAGAAGAAAAAAGAATAATTCTGACTTTAATCTCAGAATTCTGAGTTTTTGACTTCTGAGTTAACAAATAAATCATAATCCTGAGATTAAAGTCAACATTTTGAGAACATTTTCACAATTACTTTTCTTTTCATTGGCTCTAATCCTCTTCCATATTGCTAAACTAAACAGACAAAACAAACTTTCGATAAAGAATGAAAAATAAACAAAAGGTTAAAAGGTCATGCTGTTGGTCATGTTTTAAATTGCCACCATATGACGCTTATAGAGCCTCTTAATTAAATAAAAAGAATATTTTGTAATCTTATTTGTTATCCAAAATAATCAGGATGACAAGTTTAAAATTTAAGAATAAAAGATTTTTCACAAAAAAAGAAAGATCTTTTCTTAATTATGTAAAATTTAGAATTTGTATGAAGTTTTTCTAACAAGAAATAAAAAAACTGAGTTTCTATTTGGAATTAACAAATTTGTTTGAAAGATAAATTCAGACCTTGTAGGAACGTGACTGAAATCTGCTTAAAAGGAGCTCTGAAGAGATAATGTTAAAGATAATCAATCAAATTCTCTCAATTATCTTTAAAAAATGACCAAACAAAAGGAGAAAATTATGGTTTTACCAACACATTTGGTATTTGCTCCCAGAGATGTTCAGGTTACTAACAGCGATACCATTTAATAGCTTGGGTTAGTATTTTAAGAAATAAAACATACATGACCCAACAGAACAGATGTAAAAACTGAGTGGGAAAAATAAATGAATAAAAAATTACAGCTACTTCTCAGGTGACATTGCTTCCCAACAAGCAAAGGTGTTTGTAGCCAGCTTAGCACACATCCTAAAATGTAACTGATCTCACTTACAAGCTTTTTTAATCCTTGCAGGCATGCAGCTTAAGCAAAGTTGAAAATACCTGAATTGTTGAGGAGGAGATTTTTGGAAGCGAGTTCAGCATGACCAGGCCTGGCATTGCATTGGGCGTATTAATTATAGAACGCCCTGGGCACTAAAGGGTTACAGGTGCACAGGGTGGTCCTCAGCTCTCACAGGATGGTGAATAGGAGATAGGAGGAGGAGGAGGAAGTTGGGACCTTCTTAAAAATTATTCTAGTATGCAGGGTTGTAGGTGAAAGAGGGGCTCGGAAAATGCAGGACTATATGTTGCAAAGGTTGAATTGAGAGAAAACATGAACAAAAAAAGTTTTTTTAGGAGATGAGAAAGAAATGAAAAGAACTGTCAGGGAGGATTGAACAGATGAATGGTACCAGTGGTAACTAGAAGAGGTGGGGAGCAAGGAGAGGAGAGGAACGGGAAAGGGGGGGGCACTTACGTGAAGGCAAAGGCCACCAGAGCACCACTAACCACTATAAAGTCAAGGATGTTCCACAAGTCCCGGAAATAGGAGCCCTGGTGCAAGACCAACCCCAGATCCACCATCTAAAGAAGAGACAGGAATCACATTTTGATCATGAAGTTCCTTTTTTACTTTGGTGTGTGTAATAAAGAGCAGATGGCTTCTCCTACATGTAGACTAATGGTTTGACACTTTACCTTTATCAGCATTTCAAATGTAAACACTCCCGTAAAGACATAGTCAAAATAGCGAAGTACCTAAACACACACAAAAAAATAACGTTAGATATGCTGCACAAATTCATTTTTTTTACAAATTTAACAAAGTCTTACTTCTACAACTAATTTAACTAATTCTGATATATTTGAAATAAGAAAGTTTAAAAAAAATCTGAAACTGAAAATATTTCCTAAATTTTCAAAGTTATGAAATATTGGTTTCAATCCAAGAATCAACCAACACAACATAAAGCATGATCTTCACTGTACTCAACAGTAGTTTTCAGTGACACCAGGTTTTTACGCGGATTTTCTTACGTTGTTTCGTGGAGAATCAGGCCAGACGGGATCTTCAGCAGCCAAAGCAATGCTGCTCATGGCAATAACCAGCAGGATGCACATCTCGAAATATCGCAGGGTGCAGATGTAGTGGCATGCCCTTCGAAAGCTGGGAACATACAAGAGCCTTTACAATCTTTGACCTCCTTTATAGAGCTCCGGACGTCACGTGACTCTCAGAGAGTAGACGCCATGTTGGCAGGCAACAACGGTAAACACAATGAACGGGATCGGCTTGGATTTTACTCCGTCGGAGTTTACTTCACACTTTAAAACCAAAGAAATCGTTTTATATAGTCAGAAATTAAATATACTAAACATCTCCCACCCTTACCATGCCCCTGAGACACTTTTTAAAAAATGTCAGAAGCTGTCGTAGCGGATCTGGCCAGGGAACGCCTTGGGATTTCCCCAGAAGAGCTGGCCCAAGTGGCTGAGGAGAGGGAAGTCTGGGCCTCTCGACTTAGGCTACTGCCCCTGCGACCCGACTCCGGATAAGCGGATGAAAATGGATGGATGGACAAATAACATAGATTTACATGTAAGTGGTTTAAATAGAGTGCTGTGCCGTTTGAATGTATAAACTGAACGCCAAGAGAAATCACTAGTCTGATTTTTTTCCGTGAATAAAATAAATATGTCGGGCAGGAGCGTCTCAGGATCTGTCTGAGATCCGTCTCGGTGAGACAGATAATAGCAATCCAAAGTGCTTTTTATGTGTGATCTGACAACTGATCAACCATTGCTTAAAAATTAAATACAGCTTAGCCGGTTAATTGCTGTGATCATAAAACACATAAATGGCAGCACGCAGAAATCACGAGGCAACGTTTTACGTGATGTTTACTTGTTGCTATGAGTAATAAGACAGAAAATGCCACGCCAAAATAAAGTTAGGAAGCCCACTAAGAATCGTAATAAAATCATTTAAAATAAATACCAAACATTGGTTTAAGTACCTGATATGAAGTGGTCGCTGCATAAGCGAAAACTACTCTCTGGATCTCACCGTTTCATTTTAACCCGGTCACTAGTGCGTTTTATTACAATGATCCAACGTTTGCAGCATTCCGGATCTTGGGGAATCCTGTAGATGGCTCATTCCTTATGTCGTCTGCGTCTGTTCTGCATCCTGGAGCACAACAGGAATCTACCATATTTCCCATTTGATTGAGTTTTCTGACAATAGGAAATAGTCCAGCTGCGGGGTTCTGCCTGCCAACATGGCGCCGTTTCGATTTGAACCGTTGCATGCCGGGAGAAGTGACGTCAACTCCCGGAGCTCTATAGATAAGATCAACCCCTTATCAATCTGGCTACCAATAGATTTTACACCAGTCTACTTCAATGTGTGTTTTATTAATGTACCCTGCTTGCACATACTTTGATTTTACATGTGTGTGTGTGTGTGTGTGTGTGTGTGTGTGTGTGTGTGTGTGTGTGTGTGTGTGTGTGTGTGTGTATCTTGGGCTGCATGGTGGTACAGCTGATGGCACTTTGCCGTTCTGTGTTGAATTTGCATATTCTCTCCATGCAGGTCTAGGTTTTCTCTGGATATTCCGGCTTCCCCACAAAATCCCAAAACATGCATAATGGGTTAATTGGAAACTTTACATTGTTCTAGTGAGTGTGCATGGTTGTGGATCCTATTTGACCCGGTGATGGACTTGGGACCTGTCAAGTGTGTCCCCTGTGCCTCACCCCATGGCTGCTGGGGAGAGGTGCAAGCTTCCTGTTCTACTAGTGAGCAATACAAGGTTAGAAGATGAGCAAGTGAGTGAATCTCTTACGGGTTGGTGGTGGACAAGATGAACATGGAGCTGTATGGAGGCATGGGCCTGGGTCCTCCTTCACCTCCCTTGTCGTCATCATCATCTTTATCCTCCTTAGCTGGAGGAGGTTCAGTGTTGGCATTCTTGTTGACTTGATCAAAGAGGAGAAAGAAGTAGAGTCAAAAATTTTAATATTGTTATTTTGGCAGAAAGTTAAGAGGAGACGAATGCTACCTTGATCCGTGCCTTACCTTGCAGTATGGCATTGATAGATGGAAAGATTGGCATGTCCACGGCTGTGTAGTCAGGGTGAGGGAGCCTGATTACACTGTGTGTACGGTGATGTCCTATGTTCCCATAGCTATCTAACCTGACAAGACTTCCATGAGTCCCACTTTTAGCAAGATGGAGAGCAGAGCCAAAGGCAGGAGCCATAGTGTGGTTGGCTAGTGGATTATTGTGACCTTCGTTGGGTGGAGGAGAGCCAGAAACAAGTTTGGTATTCATGAGGTTGTCCATATCCTCGCTGTACTGACTGTTCTGCCTGGACAGGGTCTTCTGGATGGGTCTCGTTGTAGAGAGATTTGGGACACTGCATTCCCTGGAAACAGTCCCCCATAAAAGAAAGTTGTAAAAGAACAAGAGACTAATTGATTTGTAGAATTGGATACAAATATTACAAAACAAACAAAGGGATTTAGAGTTAGAATACATCAGAGTACAGAAAGGACTTACTTGCGTCTGTGTTGGCACATTCTCCTCCCTTCTCCCTCCGATTGATTGCCATGCCGACTTCTTCTTGGCTTCCTCTCACAACCATCACCAGCTCCTTCCTGATGCCCTTCACCACCTCCCACTATCCCTTTACTCCTATGTCTTCCATGTTTACCAGCACATCCACCACCATCTTCTGCATCATCTGCCGTTTTTCTATGTGATCTGGACCTCCTGTGCTCTGACTGTCCACCCCCATGGCTGCCGCTTCGAGTGTGGTGATGACGTCTGGCTGGCCTCTCCTCTAAGTCCGGCCCAGGAATGACTGTAGCATCCAGTCGGACATGAGACTTGTGATGATGCTCACCTCTACGACTCCGTCTGCTCTCTGTGGACTCCCCTCGATCAAGAGGAGGCCTCGGTAGGTCGGAGCCTCCCCCACCACCACCACTTTGTTGGCCGTGGAGCTCTTGAAGCCTTGTTTGCTTGTTGAGTTCATCAGCAGGATGTTGCTGACTAACACAGAGGTCTGAATTGTTGGCAGTGGTCTTGTTGGTGTTGTTGTTTCGGTTTTCGCGGGGGTCAACAACTAAGGGCCTATCCAGATGGGTTTTCATGTCCGGACGGATGTGATGTGAAAAATTGATCTGAGAGGAGACAAGAGGACAGAGAAAATAATAACGATGAAAAAGAATTAGACGTTTCGAGCTGGTCTCACTTTCTAACTACATTTAAAGCTGCAAATGTAAACATTGCAGCTGCAGATTAGAAATACCAGCCAGCTTGTGTACACTGGTAGCACAAGCCTAAAGGCTTTAGTTTGCCTTGTCCTTTACATTGTTGTGCTCCTCCCTCCCTGTCCTTGCCTTCCAGCGGTCATCAGGGTCCAGCTCATTGTAGAGGGCCTCTCGGCTGGATGCCAGAGTCTGCTTCCTCAGCTCCTTGGTGCGCTGTTCCCACACTGACTTACTGATCCCTTTATTGTGGTTCTTCTGTTGCTCTTTACTGCAGATCAAGGAAAGACGATGGGGAAAAAATGAAGGAATGGATGACATTAAGACCTGTTGTAGGACTTTCTGTTGTGAAAATATACACCCAAAGATATGGGAATGATGACATGAAAACCAACAGCAAAAATGTAATTACGTAATGTATCAAGGACATGGAGACACACTGGGACCCACAAACATTTAAGGGTCGTTTGGCTTCGCCTACAAAACAGGGCAGGTTTCAGCAGAACTTAATGTGACTGTTCAAATCTCTTGAAATTAGGCTAAGTGGAAAGGGGGTCTGTCTTACCTGTTGTCGGTAGCTCAATGAAAGACCTCAGTTTGGAGAAACAGACTTTTATTTGTACAAGATTTACAAGCCATTGGGTTGTCTGAGCAAGACCAAAGTGAATTGCATGACCAAAAGCTCTAACCGTGGTTTATGTGAAGGCTATTTACGTTTGCATTGCCATCCATTTTGCATGACACTGCTATTGTTCACATAGAGTTTTCAGTTATTTGCACGATCAAGTAGCAACTGCAGCTAGCTTTAGCCTTTCCACAGCAGCCTTGCGCAATTCCAGCACAAATATTTAATGTCAGCCAGAGTAACTGTGTGATGCAAAACTGATGCTGATGCAACGGTTTATGAAATGGAATTTGCATGAACTGCTATGAAACATTTTGAGAATGGAGCTTAACCTTTGAAACTGTTAATCACAGCATTTTAATAAAGATACTTATAGATTATGTTCTTAGAGGTTTCTCATCTTTCCGACAGGACTTCGAGTGTCTCTCTAAACCAAATCATGTCAGACATCACTAGCCTACAAAACCATGATTTGCATGGTACCTTTACGCTGATGACGTGTCAGTGAATTGCTTTTTGGGAACTTTGAGCTGTTTAGTTTCTTAGAGTTACTCAAGTGAAAACTGGTTAAAGTCTAACCTCATTTGATTGAACTGACTCTCTGATGATAGCCCCTGACAGAATCCATACTCTGCTCATCCATCACTGTCTGGTTTGGGTCAGCCACAAAAATGGAAAAATGCAGACTACAGCGCATATTAAAACAGTGGGAAACATCATTGGTGCCCAACTGCCCTCTGTCCAGGAATTGTACACCAGCAGGACCAGGAAAAAGGCAGTGAGCATTGTCCACGACTCCACACATCCTGCATCTACTCTCTTCAATCTCCTCCTATCTGGCAGGCGCCATAGATCGCTGTACACAAAAACTACCAGACACAAGAACAGCTCCTTTCCCTCTGCCATTACTCTCCTGAATCTGTAGATTATTTTACCATTCTTTTATAATACGTTTTTATATTTATAAAGTATGCTTATGGATATGAATGTGTAGGTATGTGTGTGTGTGTATGTATGTATATATATATATATATATATATATATATATATATATATATATATATATATATATATATATATATATATATATATATATATATATATACATATATATATATATGTGTGTGTGTGTGAGTGTGTGTGTGTGTGTGTGTGTGTGTGTGCGTGTATATGTATGTATGTATATATATATATCTGTGTGTGTGTGTGTGTATGTATGCATGTTTTTATGTATTTATCTTTTATTTAATTTTATGGTAATTCAAAGTTTGTGCTTTTTTCCTGACGAAGGAAAGCATTCTCGTTTATTGTTGTATGTTTTAGAGAGCTAACATCTACTGAAGCTAAATTCCAGAATGGTTCCACTAATCAGGCAGAACACTGAACGTTTTACCTCAGTGGTCAGTACAGACCTTAGGACGGAGGTGTTGTTCTGAAAGGGATGCTAAGCAGTTTTGTCTGCTTTTAGCAACCCTTAGTGCCTGTTAATAATTATCTGTGGTCAAAGCAAAAGTGAAACTTAGCTCCTCACAATGCGTTTGTCTTTTTAACACCTTAATCTAACTGCTGACATGTCTCCTTAGCCTTCATTATTTTCTACAGGAACAATTCAACACCAAATCAAACACATCAGCTGTGTTTGTGATCTAAACATGCAGGAAACGTGCTGGAAGCAGACTGCAGTGCCAGGTATGTAAACTCCAACTTTTCAGTTGGAGGCCGGGCAATCTGAAGTTGCAAGTGCATTATTCTGGCCAAAGACGGCGGTGGGTGTCTGAGTGACATTTCATTAGCCCTTTAAAGTGTAATTTTAGCACATTCTGGCTCAAGAAAATGATTAAAAAATATGAAGAAGTTGCATGGTATCGCTTTAAAGAGCAAGTTCACTTAGAAACCATTTTTTTATTTGTTATCTTTTAAATATGATCGGTCACTCTCAGCTAGTAGATGCTAATCGTTAGCATTAGCAACTCCGCAACATGGAGTTCAGGCTTGAAGTGTTTGTGGAGATCAAACATCAGCGTTGCGGAGTAAATAGAGTCAGTGGTAGAGTTGTGTTGCTGCTAGCCAATCAGAGGTGAGATGTGTGACTATCACAAAATAATAATGAGTAAGCCTCAAATTCCTGCTGTTTTCCACGCCGCTGTTCTCCAACTAACTTCTACTTCCTGAAACAGGAGCACCAGGACTTTTTGTTATCCCACAGAGATAAAATACAAGGCTTTCACTTAAATTAGAGACCACTGCAGATGTACAGGTGAACTTGATCTTTAAACATTCAGTGTTGCTTAGAGGTCATCAGTTTCCTGCCTTTCAACTGGAGCTAATATAAAAAATAGATAAACCCTAATTGGTTCACTCTTTATGTAACATTTAATTTAAAAAGTGTGGTTTTATTTAATCTTTTAATAATGTTTAACAGAATTAAGCAACATTTTGAATGAGATGAGCCTTAAATTCAGATTTTATTGTGTGATACTTTTTAGATTGTTTGGTCTTTATAGTGAATTTTTACCTGATAGGTGGTACGAAAACAAAGTTTACTTTTAAATGGGCAGCAGTCCCCTCCGGTCTTGATCAAACTAACCATTGGCTTGTAAGTCTGAACAGAATAAAACGTTTGTTCTTCAAACTCAGGTTGTTCAAGAACTTTTTACAACAGGTGAGATGTTACCTGTTGATAACCTTTTCACAGAACTCCATTTCAACAAGTCTAAACTGTCTCTTTAAGTCTGCGTGCCTTCTCAGCTTCCCAAAGCAAAGGCTGTTCACTCTTACTTTGTTAAACCCTGTGAGGACACAAAGTGGAGGATAAAACTGAGGCAAGGTCTGAAATTGTCTTAAAAGTCCATTTTGTTTAAAAGACAGGTTTTTTGCAGGACAAAATAACAAAAATGTGAACCAGAATCTCCACACTAAAAGTCTCTCAGTGACCACCTCTTTTCGTACCCTCCATAACTTCTATCAACTTTAACTCCATGGTCTCTCAGAGCCAGCAGTCAACCACAGAAAAGCAACAGCCGTGCTGCGAGGAGCAGGCAACACACACACACAAAACAAACCTCCTAAAGAAATAAGCCAACACAAATACCAGCTTAAAAAATAAAGCCTGGAATGTAGTTTTAAAGAGAGGGATCAAAAGGAAGGAAAAAGGAAATAAAACGCTTGTCTAAATCAAGAGAAAGCAAGGAATGGTTGTAAAGTCAAACGGAAGGAATTCGGAAATGAATAAACAAATAAATAAATAAATACCAGTCCAGAAAGGGGTCGGATGCGTTGTGACACTCACTGTGTACTTTGTTGCTGAGGAGGGAAACAGCTGGTGAGTGAAATGGCACAAAAAACAGGAGGAGGATTTCATTCCAAAATGAGCAATGTTTCCACCAATTCGAAATAATAATAAAAAAAATTTAAATCTTAAAAACTAAACGTCCGAAAAAATACGGAAAATATTACTGTCAAATATATTTCTCAAATGCTACCATTATATATATATATATATATATATATATATATATATATATATGTACTTTTTGCCCAATATGTTCAGCATTTTGGAATACAATCCTTCATGTACAGACACAGTACAACATAAACATTAAACAGTGAGTCAAACCACCAACCCTGCCGTCTGCTCAGACTCTAAAGCACACGTTTAAGCCGTTTTGTTAACAAAGTCAAGGGTGCCGCATGCAATGAAATTATTACATTTGTATAATTTACAAAAGACAAAAATAATATTTTCTTATTTTCAACATGACAAAAGACCTCTGTGTGCAGGACACAATACATTTGCAGCAATGGCTTGTTTTTACTGTTAAAGAGCAAGTTACCCACCCCCACCCCCCCAGCACAGTCTTACTCCACCCTCACTTCCTGTTTAAAAAATGCGCCAAAAGGAGGGATTGCCTGGCTGACCTAGAAGGCGGAGCTGCGGGAGTGGCCGAGATGCAGATGGAGTCCAGTCCAGACAGGCACCTCTACTGGGTCCCTCTTAGCCAATAACAAAGGCTGATTAAAAATCATTGTAGAGCAGATTGATAACCTGAAGAGGGCGCAATAATGATGTTTTAGCCTCTATTTGCAGGCCTCCTGAATTTCCAGACCTCCTAGGAGCCGCTAGGAGGTCACATTAACAGTAATTCTGCTGGATAGTCAGTGCACCACAGCACCTTTACATTTAGCTAGTTAATCCTGATACCTCAACATGTGACGGTTTACATTTGTATTATGTTTACTTTACATTTCACTTTATAGTTTAGACTTGTCTTATTACCATGTCTAAATTTATACTTTTACATTTTTTGCACCTTCAGCTGTGTGGATGAAAGGTGTGTGTGTGTGTGTGTGTGTGTGAGAGAGAGAGAGAGAGAGAGAGAAAGAGAGAGAGAGAGAGAGAGAGAGAGAGAGAGAGAGCATGACTTCTATTTTAGCCATGGCTTTTTTGTTTTACTACCTCTTTTTAAATAAGATGCACTAAAATACAAAAATAATGACTGCACATGCTTAATGCACTATTAGACACACATTTATACAGTTTATCAGCCCAAAAAGTTGTATTTTTGGGTAATTTGTTCTTTAAATTTGATAGTATTTTAATTTATGCAAAAAGATCTGAACTGACATTGTTCTGCCTGCTATGCAGGTAAGATACTTCATACTAACTCTGCAGAACTACACTTTAAAAAACAGAGGTGTGGACTCGAGTCACATGGCTTGGACTCCAGTCAGACTCGAGTCATTATTTTAATGACTTCTGACTTGACGATAAAATCTATAAAGACCTATGACTTGACTCGGACTTGAACGCCAATGACTTGCAACTTGAATCGACTTTCATCTGTTGACTTGATGATGACTTGAATATATTTTATATTTTAGCACAAAAATGGCTCGACAAGGACAAAAATCTTAAATCATTCTTCGTTCTGGGTTTGAGCTTGTTCTGCTAACTGCAGCAGCACTTTGTTTCTAATCAGTTTCAGTTGCACTTCCTGCTTGTTTGAGCAAATAAATGAAGCTTTAAGAAGCTTTTAATTCTGGAATTTATTTATCATCATCGTCATTAAATTGAAGTTGGACAAATTACTTGATTATGACTTGAAAATTCAAAGTTAAGGACTTGTACTTGACTTGGACTTCCAATTTATTGACTTTGGACTCGACTTGGACTTGGTTGTCTTTGACTTGGACTTGACTCGAGACTTGACTGGAAAGACTTGTGACTTACTTGTGACTTGCAAAGCAGTGACTTGGTCACACCTCTGTTAAAAAATGGCCAAAAATTAATTAAAAATGAAAAAAAATGTTTTAACAGTCCCTACGATGTGACTTCCACAGCCTTCTTTCTGAAAGCACCACAGAATATCTTCTTAAGAGATTCTTCATGCACCAATGGTCGGCCCTAAGTTGAAAATCCCTGCATGGGGAAAAAAAAGGACTTTTGTCTGGAAATTGAAAATCCCTACATAAATTAGGGATTTGGATTGACCCTGAAACAGAAGACACAAGGATACCGAGCAGCAACGTATCACTTAAAGCGTAACTATAAAATATATTTCAGGGTTTATAGTCCAAAAGATTTATGCTGTCTATATATTTGTCTTTTGGGTCACTTTTCTTATAAGATAATTAGGAATCATCCTGTCTGTTTTTGTGCACCAAGCATGGCACTACTTTTCCTCACACACTGACATGCAAATAGCATTAAAAACTAAATTAGCCTAACGAATATCAAACAATACATAAACTTAAAAGCTTGAAGCACAAAGAGGTTTTCTAAAATAAGGAGTATTGTATACGCATACAAATGTCTGTTTGACATATTATAGAGAGCCAAAAGTGCCACAATACAATAAATGATGGTTCAGGTTTAATATTTAATGATTTAGAAATGTATTATTTATGTATTTTATTGTCGCACATTTGGCCCTCAATAGGTAGAGTAAGGTCAGGACTGTGTGTACCTGTGATGACTACAGCCTCCCTGCCACGCAGACCATATTGTGGTGTGAGGTGTGTGTCTGTATGTGTGCATGAGTGGGAGTGTGTGTGACCTTTACCTGAAACATAAAGGAAAGACCCCCACGTGGTGGGAGAGGAGATCAAAGACTCTTCTGACCAGAGGAGAGCTGGCCCAGAGTCCAGTTACTGTGTGTGTGTGTGTGTGTATGTGTGTGTTTCTGTGTGTCCATCTGTTGTATCATGAACAAATGAGTGACCCGAGCTGTAACTCGTACACCTTTTCTTAGTAAATACTCACACATTTATTATATTATTGCAACAAAAAGCTTTTAGCACAGAAGGGTTTAAATCTTTGGGGAATTTTATTCTGAAAAATAAAATCATCAAAAGAGGAAATGTGAAAAAAAAATGGATTCATAAAGCGTGTAGTCCACTGGGCCACAGCTGTTGGCGATGACGTTTGACCTGCATTTATGAGGAAGTTTGCTAAAAGCCTCAAAACATTTGCAATTGTGTTTGATCTACTCGCACAAGTCACCCAGACTGTTGCAGAAATTTTGAACAACGTGATAAAATTACAAGAAAAATGTTCTCCTGAAACAATCACAGCGTCATTTTTCTACATCTGAAATCCTTCTCATCTGCTTTTCTCTCTGGTTTCTGCAAGTCATAAGTGCAAGAAATGTGAAACTATATGGGGAGGGTAAACATTAAATACAACAACCTCACAGCTGTCATCAGCTGTTTGCAGTTGATTATTATACCCATGTATGCCTGTGGAATTACCATATCAGTGTAAAATACTAGCTTGTTCTGCCTCAGCCCCTTGGCAGAGCTAAAGGCATTAACTAGCTTTAGTGTTGTAGTAATAAAAGAACCCATTAAACATACTATGGGGTGCAACAATGGCGTTCTAAGGCTCAGAGTACACTACATCAAATACAAGGATGAGGGTTGGCTTTTGAAACGCCCTTGAGATCGACAGGCCAAAAGGGGCAGCATCTGCTGTGAAGATGCAGAGAGTGAATCGGTCTGTTGTGGTAAAGAAGGAGCTAAGCAATAAAGCAAAGCTTCAATTTACCGGTCAGTCTTTGTCTCATGAGTTGGCCATGAGCTTGGATAATGACTGATGAACAAGATCGAGAAAACAAGCGGTCAAAAGGAGTTTCCTCCAGGGTGGCTGGGCTCAGCCTTATCGAGAAAGTGAAAAGCTCAGAATTGGGAGGATGCTTTATTTGGGTACAAGTGAAAGAAATAATTGATTTAACAATAATTTGTACTATTTTTAACCCTCCCACTGTCCTAATGGGTGTGACCCACAAGGAAAGTTGATCACTGAGCAGGATTGATAGTTCATCCCTTGAGGTCCATGTGGCAGGGGTGAGGTGGTGCTCACTCCTCACCCCTGCCACATGGACCCAAGGAATAAACCATCAACCCTGCTCAATGGTCAGCTTTCCTCGCAAGGTCATACCCATTACTACAGTGGGAGGGTTAAAGCTTTAAATGGCCAGGGTCACTCATATGTTGTTGAGATGCAATCAATACACACCAGCAACAAGGCTACAGTAATGAGGTAAAGGCTTTATTCCCATACCAAATTGCCATTAAGAGTCATTTGAGTTTGACGTTACGAGTAGTCCTCGTCTTTGGGTTTGGTTTGTTGGGATTAGCTTTGGGCCAAACCAAGTATGAGTGGCTCTCTTTTATTATTATTATTATTATTATTATTATTATTATTATTATTATTATTATTATTATTATTATTATTATTATTATTATTATTATCATCATCATCATCATCATCATCATCATAATCATCATTATATTATTATTATTATTATTATTATTATTATTATTATTATTATTATTATCATCATCATCATCATCATCATCATCATCATCATAATCATCATTATATTATTATTATTATTATTATTATTATTATTATTATTATTATTACTATCATTGTATTATTTGCCAGAGCTCCCTACTGTTCATGGCTGGTTCATTTTTTAGATTGACCAGACCAATTTCAGTGAATTCATTCCACTGTGTCGTTGCACAATGAAAACTACTGATGCTTTTACCCGCAGAGTCTCCAATATTTTTATGCATTAGTTTAGCTTTCATTGCTAGTCATCTAAACATAAGAATTTTTGTAAAAAAAAAAAAAAAAAAAAAAGATATGGTAGAAATACACTAAATGTTCAAACATTGCAATGTTCCCTTTCCAACGTGCTGATGTTTGCGTAAATGCTTGACATCTAGATGCAGGTGTCAAAAAAACAAGCCAGAGTGGCAGAAACTCACGCTGCAATGGAGAGGTTGGCGGCTGACAATGGGCTGACTTCAGCCACCTCCTTTGCTTTCTGCAAGGCAATCTTTTGACTGGCAGCCTCCTCTTCCTCCTGTTCATCCTGTGGAGACAGACAAAAAAAATCAACAGCAAAAAATTTGAATGATGAAAAAAGATGTAAATAAGACAAACAGAAAAAAACATGTATTCATGAAGGGTCATATTTGATGGTTCTGGGTGCAAAATTACAGTGTTCTTTACCTTGGTCAGTTCTTGTGCGTTGGCCAAATTGTCAACAGCGATAGCCAAGAATACATTAAGCAGAGTGTCTGAACATAGAGTTAAAAGCTATCCACTTTATAGGAGACTGTTTGTACAACAGCATACAGCACGGCCAAAAAAGTGAGCTAAACCGCTTGTATTTTATATTTGTTGGCAAGATCGTGGATTTGACTGCACGAGAAACAAGAAGGCTAGCTTACACAGCTGCTGATTTGCAGGGAAAGATTACCCAGCATTGCCTGAAGGTTTTCTTAGATTTGTTTGGTGTTTTTCACAGCAGAGTTTCAAACTAAGATCATCTTATGTCGAGAAGTAACGGAGGTCGACGTTCATACATAATTCACTCAAACATTACATATAATAGGCTTTGCTATGTCGTTTGAATGACTACGCCATGCCAGATTTCAGATCCTTATCAGTGATGCTGAAAGAGTTAATGCCATTGTTGCGTTGAAGCAAATTAGCTTGTTGGCCATCTTGAATTGGATTGATTCCATAGGTAATGAATCGTAGATTTACAGCTAATGTAACTTTCTGGGTGTTTCATTGCAATTCATCCAGTGGATTTTGAGAAATTTTGCAGACAGTGTATAACAATGCTTTAACCCTTTCACTGGCATTCTGCTGGCTGAAAAGAGCTTCCATGCTTTTGTCTCCCATAAATCTTGAACTGTTAAGATCTATCAAATTCCAAAAGAGCATAAATATGAAAACTAGCACTTTCGAAGCAAATGCTAATCACCACAGCCGCCCCAGGGCGTTGGGTTCGGGTGAGACAAACCGTGCATGACTCACTGTACTGAGAATCTCATGTGACAAATGTGATTTACTTGTGAACTTTGTCTGTGATTGAAGAAACTGATGGATTAGAGCTTTCCATTATCCTTCGCTGGCTACCAAAGATGAAGTCCATCCTGAATAAACGTGACGGCACACAGTAATCCACGCATTTGTGATCTCTTGCCTGGATTATGCAATTTCCCTTTTTTATGGATCTACCTCTTCCTCGGTTGCGCGCCTCCAGCTGGTGCAGAATGCAGCGGTCCACCTCCTAACGGATACCAGACGGAGGGAGCATATTACTCCCATTCTGGCCCAGCTGCACTGGCTACCGCTGTGCTACCGCATCCAATTTAAAATTAAACTTTTTGTTTTTAAGTCCCTTTATCTTTATGCACCTTATGTGTTACTTGACCCAGCTGGTTCACCCCAGGTCGGGCTCTTCGGTCAGCAGACCACCGCTGTTACAGGTCCCAAGGGTTCGGGTGAGGACATGAGAACGTGCATTCTCAACCTGTGCGCCTCGCCTCTGGAACCAACTACCTCTGGCAGTGAGAATGGCCCCCCTCTCTCTCTGTTTTTAAATCACGCCTGAAGGCTCATTTCCATTCTTTGGCTTTTACTTCAGCCTAGTCGGCTTCTTACTGTGTACTTGTTTTACTTTATTTATTGTTGATTTTATAGTTGTTACTAGGGGTTGTATGAACCAGTCGACGAGTCGACTAATCGACTTCACTGCTCTGTAGTGACTTTTTAGGCCTGTCATCGACTAGTCGCTGTCACGTGATAATGACCGACAAGATGCAGTCCACGGAAAAGACAGCAGGTGATGAGCCCCTGCGCGTCGGGAGGCGATGCGCTGTGCCAGAGCGTCGGTACTGACACCCGCCATAAAACGGACATTTAATCAAATTGTCACCTTTTCCCTCTTGCAATTTAACCTTCCCATCACCCCCATCCTAACCTTAACCAGCTTGCGCATGCAAAGCTCTGATTGTTGATGCGCTCCAGATATCTGCGTCCTGAGCACGGCCACAGTAACATTATCAAATCAGGTGTCGCCACCTCAAAAACAAATTTAACACGCGATCGCTCATGTCGGCTCATTTCCTTTTATGTTTTCTGTCTTTTACTTGTGCCTGATGCTTTTCGCTGCTGTGGAGCAGAGCGCATCACCTGTTTAGTCCTCCTGTGACGCACCTCACTGATGCGGCCGACGAGCAGCGACACTCCGCTGTTTTTGCGGTCGGTAGATCTTTTAGAACTGCAGTTCAAAGGTAACTCATAAGGTGAATATAAATGAACCCAGGTAGCAGTTTTTCTTTAGGATTGAGAGGAGATGCAGGAAGATAATAAACAGGCAGGACGGTAAAATAATCAAATAAAAACAAGTTAGTTTTTGTACCTGGTGGTTGCAACAAACAGACACCATTGAAGGTAATCAGAAGTGAGGAACAGAAAATGAAATAATTATTTTAATGTTTAGAGCAGCAGGAACACTGAGAGGCTGCAGGCGCATCAGTGAGTTTGCGGCCGCTGCGCAGGGGGAGGGGGGAGAGGGCTGAAGCGGAGCAGTATAGATGCAGAAACTACCGTTGTTAAAAGAAATGTGTTTAACTTCCGTGTGCCGCTTCAGGTGTATGACGTCATCAACTACTAGTCAAAGTCAACTCGATTTTCATTACTTGACTGTCGACTTAAAAAAAAATTAAGTCATGCAGCCCCTAGTTGTTACTGTGTTACTTTTATTACTTCTGTAAAGAAAGATCTCATGCAATCACATTGATCTTAGGGCATCTACATCAAATCTGCTCAGAAACTTTCAAATTGATCGAACTGCAATGACAATGTGCGACAAATAGAGAATAGTAATGTGTCGGTCGCAAAGGAACCGGCTCTAAGAGCCGGCTCTTTGAAGTGAATGACGGGAGCCGGATCGTCATTGGGAGCCGTCCCCTCCCCACTCCCCTCTTGCTTTGGTGAAAGCTACAGGCGATTGATCAACATGTGTTACTGTGTGTCCAGACTGTCCACACACAGAGCAGTAGGAGCGGGGAAGAGGGAGGATCAGACTCAGACACACAGCAGAGCACATGCAGGTGGATGGAGACGAGAGGGAATGAGCAGGAGGAAATAGGCAAGCGAGAGAGAGGAGAGTGTGATGAAGACGGTGAGAAAATGAGCGCCAGCAGTCAGAAAGTGGAGATTTCTTAAAGTGTTCAGTTATTAAATCCATAGAAATGATAAATATGTGATATTTAGCATATTTTTTACATTAGTAAATCATTTTACATATAGTTTTGCATTATTTTGGTTATAAATGTACTCTATGCCACAGAAAATCTGAGGAGCCACTTGGGAGCCGAAAGAGCCGGCTCTTTTTGGTGACCTGAGCCAAAAGAACCGGCTCTCTGAAAAGAGCCGGAATTCCCATCACTAATAGAGAAAGCTGTCTTATCTTGTTTTTTTTTTGCCATGCTTCTGTCAAAGGATACAGTTCCCAAAAAGTGTGAGCACGATGAAGAAGACAGAGAACGCCATTCCTTTGTTAACTCCGCCCTGAGACTGGATGCCATCGTACATCACCATGTTCCAGTCCTCGCCAGTCAGAATCTAGAACACACATTCGGAGCTTTCATCACGGTGCATGAAAATATTTTTACTCCTAACACTACTTCTCCACAGTTTGCTTCACTTTCTCGTGGAACGTTGTCTCTGCTCACCTGAAACACAGTCATTATTGCTGCTGGGAAGGTGTCGAAATTGGTCGGAGGGGTGCCGCTATCGAAATTAAATCTGTTAAGAAAAAGGGGGATACGTCTGGAATGAAAAGAAGTCCCTGATGCAAAACACAGGTGTAGAAATCACAAAACCACAAGCGGGAATAAAAGAAGAAATATTAATGACTCAACATCTTTGCAATTAACAGAAACTAGGGGTGTAACGGTGCATGTATTGGCAATCGGAAGTTTAACTGCAGCCTTTTTCAGAAGACACACCATGCCGGTGTTATGTCAATATGAGTTCCCCCCTCGATATCTGTTTCTACTTCACCCAGCAGATAGTCGGAATCATCCACTCACAAAAAACAATCCTCATCCTAACCCTTTCCCTAACCATAACCACCAAAAATGTATATTTTGCATAATTATAGCATGTGTGGCACAATTTTTATGTTAGTTTTAGGGTTAGGGTTAGGACACATTTTTTGTGAGTGGATGGTTCCAACTCAAGGCTGGGTGGAGCAGAAACAGATCTCGAGGGGGGAACTCAAATCAGCGTAACATCGGCAAATCAGTGTAATACTGCCGCCACGGTGTGTCTTATAACCGTGCCGTGGCGGTATGACATTGCGGGAATTTTGCAGCATTCGTGCCACCACCTTTGGAAGCAATATTGCTGCTTATGAATGCATATTATGCATCACTTGCTGGAAAATGAAATCATGTCTTTTAAGGAAGAAGGAAAAATGCACTGACTGTCCTCCAAAGAGCTGCATTCCCAGGAGGGCAAAGACAACGATAAAGAGGAAGAGCAGGAAGAGCAAGCTGATGATAGACTTCATGGAGTTGAGCAGAGAGACAACGAGGTTACGCAGCGATGCCCAGTATCTGACGAGCACACAAAACAGGTGTGTTATTAGTTAATGCTACTGTTATAATTTCGTTTACTACAATGGAGGAACATCTGTTTGACTCACTTGGTCACTTTGAAGATTCTTAATAACCTGAGAGCTCGGAGCACGCTGATGCCAAACGATGTGCCCGGCTGGATGATGGACCACAACACCTCAAAAATGCTGCCACTTATGACCTGACATAAGCACAGACAGACAGGAGCAGTGTGTTAGAGTGTGCGTCACTTTTAAAGTGTGTACAGTGTTTTCAGTCTTACGATGCAGTCGAAGCAGTTGAAGGAGGAGTTGAGGTAGGCCTGTTTGCCCAGGCCGTACATCTTCACACACATCTCTGTCAGGAAAATCCCCAGAAAGAGGAATTCGGCATAGGCTACAGAGGGACAATTAGAGACCAGGAATGAGGAAGGACAAAGAGTTAAATGAGTTTTTTAATTTTTTTTGGATATTTGTAATTCAAATGAGCAAAGACAGAATTTCACCTTTTTTTGGCTTCTAGACCCAATGTTATATAATTAAAACTAGGCTATGTGTTTGTAAATGCACCAAATACTTATCAATATTTAATTTTATATGAAGATGCTCTCAATTAAAGAAAAACAACTACTTTTTTATTAAATTTGGATGTGGATTTAGCCACTTTACTAAAGAACTTGCCAACCCACCAGATATTGTCCATTAATCTTTGATGCAAGTATTTGGAGATAATCTTAGCCCCAACTGATTTTCTGTGTTAAAGCGTCCTACTCACATAGAAAATCTGACAGTGGTTCCGGCTGGTCGTAGTGCACTACAGCCACACACAGAGTGTTCAGGCCCACCAAACACAGAACGGTCCAGTAAAAGGCCTGGGACTTAACAACACGCCGGACGAAGAAGCGAAATCTGCGCTCCCGCCGCTTGAACGTTGACCCTTCCAGTTTTGAGCTCTTCAGGCTGGCTCGGGCGAACGGCGAACCTGGAAATGGTCGAATCAAGATGAGCAGTTACAACCTTTGCTTTATAAATATTCTAAAGACTAAAAAGGTTTTTAAAGAAAACCCAGTAAATATGAATCTGCAGCAATTTAACAAACAACTCCAAAAGACTGTTCGCGACAAGTTAGACACAATTTCAAGAAAAAATTGCAAAGTCTTAGTCGGAATTCCACTGAATTGGTAGATATGACATTTTTCTGTGTGTCGTAGCTGCAAATCGAATGTGATATTTGCACAACTTTAATGCAAACTTTGTGCAAAGTGTTTTGTCTTCATTTTCTCACAGTTCAGTTGTATTTGTTTAGCTATTATCGTCAAACCCAAAGTTGTAATGACAGATTATTTATCTTGTCTCCATTCATAACTTACATTACCCACCATCCTCAGTGCTTTTTCCAGTTCCTTGCCCTTTTTGACTAGCAGAAATTTAATTGAGAGTTAAAGCCAAGTCTGTGATGCCCATGATGACTCTGTGTTTATTTTAACAAGAATTATTTTGTCATATATTCAAAAGATGCTCAAAATTGCAGCAACGCCATAGCAGAGCCCAGTGACTCACCATGTAAATTGGAACTCTCGCAAAAATCTTGAGACAATTTGGAAACTCCCTCACAGTTGCTGTCACGGCCAAGTGAGTTAGATTCTGTCTTTTTCTGAGTCTAAAACTATAAATTCTCATTAGCTACAAAAAAGTAACACATGGCTATTGTGTTGTCATGGCAAAAACAAAAGTGGAACTAACACTAAACCAAATCTCCCAGAATAGCTACACACTTATTGCTAGCTTGTAAATAAAACATCAAAACAAAGAAATTTAAGGTTTGGTTCACTTGTTTAATCAGTACAGTTGCATTGGTCTCCAGTAGGAATGAATGTCTTGTAGTGAATTGTACTCTGGGGAAACAAAGCTCTGGTGCACTAGTTTCAGGAACTAGAAGTCAGCCACATCAGAGTTGAGTTTCAGACTACAAGATTTGGAATTGTATTTCTCGATATGTGGCCATCTCTTCTCAGATTGGCTACAGCAACTTTACCACTGATTCTGCTTTGCAACGTGGATGATTTAACTCCACAAATAACACAAGCCTGAAGGAGTTCTGCTGTGTGGTGGAGTTGCTAATGCTTCTACTAGTCAAGATTAGCCAAGGCGTTCTCTGCTCTTTGCTGGATGACAAAGCAACAAACAGCCTTTTCTGTAGCAAGTCAAGACAGTGTGACGTTCGTAGATCCGTGAGACTTTTCAAATTCTAGAGTTTCACCTTCAAATTTATATCAGAAGCTAATCCTGGCGATAGGTGTAGATCACTACTTTCATGTTCAGCCTGCATGAAAAACTCAGAGTAACTGATTATAATCAGAAATAATAACAATAATAATAATAAAAAATTGTGAACCACACCTTCAAATCTCTCATTCTCTTGATTTTTCAACAAATCTGGAGTGGTCTCTGAATGAATAACTTGTGAGTCAATCTCTGTGGGAAGAAAAGCTCTGGCGCTCCTGTTTCAACAAGTAGTAGTTAGACGGAGGGGTGGGAGCAGAAAGTGGCAGGATTTGGAGTCGTCGGTTGTTATTCATGACATTTGGATATCTCACCTCTGATTGGTGCCCTGCCTCAGTTTGCTCTGCAACATTTATCTCCACAATTAACACAAGCCCAAAGAAGTTCTGCCATGTTGTGGAGCTGCTAGTGCTAACGGTTAGCTTCTACAAGCTAAGATGTGCTCTGCTCTCTCCTGGATGTAAATATCAGCTCAGCCTTCCCTGTCACGATGTCTGAGTCTATGAATGCAAATTTCCAGTGTGGCGTGTATCTGTGTGTTTGTGTTCTGAAACTCAAAATGACGGCTCGTATTTCAAAAAGAAAATGTATTAACAAAAACAGTTCCTCAGTGAACTTGCTCTTAAACACAACTTCTGTTTGTTTAGAATAATTTCGTGAGATCACCATCAGTGGTGAAAGAGATGATGAAGGTAGGACAGGATAAAGGAAGGTTAAAGACAGAGAGAAAGATAGAGCGCTACAGGACACAAGAAAGAAAGAGAGAGAAAAGGAATTTTCAGAAAACACAGAAGAGGAGAAGAAGACAGAAAGGCAAAGGCCAGGAGACAGACGGAGAGGATGGTCAGATAATGCTGAAATGTAAGATAAGATAACACCTCTGTGTTCTCGTGGTTTATTTTTGAGATGGTTTGTGAGAGAGAGTATCGTACCTACTGCCAGGTCCACCTCCCCCTCTTCTGGGTTAAGAAGCTCCGCTTTGCTCTTATGGTTCTTTGTGGCTCTCCTTCGAGAACCTGTAGCATGAAAAACACATTGTGTTCCCCGTGTGCCTTGGTTTGGTGAATTTCATATAGTGTTAGTGGAAAATAACATTAATAAAGGCTAAATGTGAGAGGACTTTCATACCATCATAATCGTTTTCATTTTCGTCATCCGCCAAGATGACTTCTTCTGCAGAACACAGAGCAAAAATGCACTTTACCTAGTCTTTCTTTCCAGATTTAACTAAAAAGATGCTCCATATAGAAACACAATAATGACATATTGCAAATGACACTGTAAATGACAAAAATACAAAAAGTAAAAACATTTAACGAACACGTTTGGAGAAAACTACAGACTGAAGAAAAAGTAACACATGTGACAAGAGAATCAAATAACTATAATTTTGTGTTAGGCCGTGGCTAAGAGGTTTGTTTTGGTCTCTGCCCCCCAGATGCAGTGCATACATTGTGAAGTGTCTTCAAAAGACAAATCCCTTTTTCATAACCTGTTCATTTCAATTAAAAACAGAAACAAAGACCACACCTGTGTGAATTTCTAATTCTTCTCCATTAGTTTTTATGTAAATTGTCTTTTTGAAAAGATCAAAGGTCTCTCCTATCTTTGTCTTTGTTCTTTCCGACACCTACAGCCAAATCTTCCAGTCAGACGTTGTTTTTGCCATCAGCAGATAAGTAAAAGGACAAGAAAGCTCTTCTTTTTAAACCCCCATTGCAAATTTCCATAAAAGAAAGAGAAATAGGTGGAGAAGAGGCACACTATTGGGGGCGATGGCGGAAGAGGAGATAAGTTGCCGCCCTGTAAAAGAAGGGTTGCAGGTTCGAGCTCTGTCTGTCTCAGTCTACGCGTTTTAGGGCAAGACACTTCCCCTCCTTGCCTGCTGGTGGTGCTCAGAGGGATCAGCAGCGCCTGTGTATGGCGGCCGGGCCTCCATGAGTGCGCCCCAGAGCAGCTGTGGCAACATTGTAGCTCATCAGCACCGGTGTGTCAACATGGGCATGAATGAATGAAGTGCTGCAGGCTTCATCTGAGAGAATTTCATCTGTTTATGCTGAAAATATCAGAACTAAGTGAAATCTTGTATAATGAAGGAGTGATGGAGGTATAAAGGTTTGAAAAGAAGCATTTGCACGAGCCATTATGTGGGTTTTCAGATTGAAGTTGTTAGGTAAGGGTTAGGGTTTGTCACACAACATATTTTCATTTGAAATACATTTCAGAAAGCCCATTGAATATCCAGTAGCGAGTGCATCAACGTGATGTGAGAGAGAACATTTGAAACTCACGAGTGAAAAAAATGCAGCATTTCTGTAGGATGGCTGAGGTAACCTAGCCTAGAAATCTTGACCAGCCGTTGCAGTGGTAAAATATTTTGCTCTGCAGGTCGGTCTAGTCATGCTCCTTCGTAGACCCTCAGCAGGTCTAATGTTGTTAGGCGACCTTAACTCTAGAGCGGTGAAGGAGAAAAACTTCATGGCGATGGTTCAGGAACAGCGGTCGTTTGGAGTGGCTTTGGCATCAACTCTGGATAATTTAAACTTGGGCTTTTCTTCCTCGTCTTTGAAAGTGTATGGCCCCATTGACTGACACCCATAGTGCTGACTACGTCAAGTTGTTTGTTGCTCCAATTGGTCCTAGTGCTGTCCAGTTGCGTACAGAGATCATTTGAAAGACAACCGTTGAACACGATTGGGTGGTTTCGAAGGGTTGTGACCAGATTACTTATATTACATGATGATTTGGCAGGCTAGAGCTAACCAGTGATTTTTTTTTTCCAGGGTTTTCATCAGAATGACCCATAACTGGACTAAACGTTGTATGAATTTACTAATTATGATATAACTGGGAGCTTATGATTGTACGAGTCATCTTTCTAAAAACCGCTTCCACCTGTATAAGCAGCTGTACGTACCAGCCTTGCAGATCCATTCGAGGTAACCGTTGAGTTCCCTTTCAATCTGCTGCTGCCTTCTGAGCTTCAGGAACTCCCTCCTGTTCTCCACTCGCTCTCTTTCTTTGGCAAACTCTCTAAAGTGACCCACAAGAAAAAAACAATTAGACACCTTAAATGAAACTCTTCATTACTCCATACATATAACATTTTAAAATAGGTGTTCATGTCAACATTTGATACATCATATAGGCGAAACTAGAAAAGTTAGAATATGGTGCAAAAGTCCTTTTTTTTTTCTTTAATTCAACCGTGACTGAGAGACCATCTAAAGGCTCAGGAACCCTTTGCAGGTGTTTTCGATTCATTAGCTGTCCAAAAGTCTAGAATATTCAAGAACATTCTAATTGTCTGATATTCTGAATGTGGGGATTTCATCAGCTGTAAGCCATAATCATCACAATTATAACAAATAATGTCTGGAAGGATCTGGCTTTGCAGGTAATGAATCCATCTCATATATTAGTTTTACCTTTTAAGTTGAATTACTGAAATAGAATTTTTTTTTAACCATATGCTTATTTCAAATAATTTATGATTTTTTTTGAGTCAAACTAACACAACACTGTAAAAGCAAACTTACCCTGACAACACACCAAGCACCAGGTTGAGCATGAAGAAGGAGCCAATGATGATTAAGGGAATGAAGTACATCCAGTTCCACGCACTCCCTGAGGCATCGTTGCTCTATAAACACACACACCACATGTCAAGATTTTGGTTTAACTCTAGCATTGGAACGGCTCTGGAAAAATCAAAGAACGTTCACACTTTAAAGTTAACTTGTTTTTTATATACATTTGCAGTGGTCTCTGCCTTGTGAGTCAAGCTATGTGGAAGAAAAGCTCTGGCGCTCCTTTTTCAGGTACTAGACGTAAGCCAGAGGAGTAAGGAACAGAACACGGAAGGAATTGGAGTCTTATGTCCTGATATTCATTCATCTCGTCTCTGAATGGCTAACAGCAACACAACTTTTCCGCTGACTCTGTTTGCTTTGCATCGTTGATGTTTGATCTCCACAAATAACACAAGCCTGAAGGAGATATGCTGTGTGGTGACACGCTCTGCTTTTCCCGTCACGAGTCAAGATGTTTGAGCTCATGGATGCTAATTTTTCAATGTGATGTGAAAATGTCTTTTCTAATATGAGCGCTTCAGCTATTTTCCAATGGCGGCTAATGCAGGAAATGGGGTAGGAGACTATTTTCCCATTTAACCTGCATGCTAAACCCTGTGACCCATCATATTTTAAAAACAGCAAGTTAAAAAAACGGTTTCTCAGTGAAGCCTGTTTTATTTTCCTGCTGCTTCTTAAACCTTAAGGAAAAAGTCTCACTTATGTTGCTGCTGGAAACACAAACAGCAGCAGGAATCACGTGTTTTGTGTCATCTCAATAAGTAAATGCATATCTGCCACTCTATTTAGCAGCCCTGTTGGAATAAATAATGCATAACAAATGCTTTCCTCATTCCCTTGCTGTCTCTACCATTCTCTTATCCAGGATGCCCTCGGTATTTCTTCATCAGACCCATATTGGTTTTTTTTTTTTTCTGCATTTTGTTGGAACTCCTTGTTTTGGCTTTTCTGACTTTAGATTTTCTTTTTCTCAGTCCATGCTCCCTCCCCATTTCTCTAAGTCGCCGATCAGGCTCTACACTGATTTTCTTTCTTCTGGGATTTTTCTCTGTGTCTACCCCACCTACCTCTTCCCTCGTCCCTACCTTCTACGTGTAACCTGGTTCTGCTTTCCATGCACCCAGTGTGCCGCAGCCCCCTTTTTCAACCATTAAACTTTTATTGCTCTCCTCCCCAGCAAGAATAACTTGGGCTGAGCAGGCCCTTTTAAATATAGAGCAGCAGCGGGAAGGAGGGATGGGAGAAAGAGACAGAGGGATAAGAAAGAAGGAAAAATGGGATGAGGGAGAGAAAAATAAGATGATGATGGATGAAGAACAACAGTTAAGTGGTGAGAAACAGAGAAGGTTAAAAGGGTAACTACAGTAGCAGTCAAAAACCCTTATCTACCACTGGTCTCCATAGCAACCATTGCCAATGACAACAGGGAACTATTCAGCTTCAGCTATAACTGTGTTCAGACGTGTTCTCGTACCTAAAAGGGTTTAAGCACAGGCCCCTAGTTTGACTCTTGCTGACTATCTAGCCAGCCGAATCCCTTCCAGGTTGCTTTGAGGTAATCAATCTGACTTCATTATGACATACATTGACAGATTTTGGACCTAAACATGAAGAGGTACACTGAAAACTAAATTCTGCTGAGTAGCACATACGTAGTATAGTAGATCTGTCCAGCCCTCCATGGTGATGCACTGGAAGACGGTGAGAATTGCAAACAGGATGTTGTCAAACTGGGTGATGCCATAGTTTGGTCCCAACCAGTATCCTCTACAAACAGTGCCTTCTGGACACAGCCGAGAAGGAGGTTCATCGCCACACGGAAACTCCTCTCGGATCTCGCCTGAACCTGGGAACAGGAGGAAATGGGAATAGGTTTACTGTGAAAATTTTGTTCTAATGTGGTAAGTCCTTGCAGGGAAAGAAACAAAAATTTCTCTAGCTCATATAAGTCCTACCACCATTTTGCACTTGAGATGGGGTGGCCCTATTCTTCATGTGACTGACACATGCGGTGTGTCAGCCCGTCAAACAAAAAATAGCTATGTTAACTATATGCCTGCACATTGGAATAGATTTGAATGAGCAGAGAAACATGTTTTCTCAACGTGAGCTGCAGGCTTTAATGGATAAAGAACAAAATCATGTTCATGTTCTGTAGTTAGTAGGAGATATTTCGTGCTTTTCAAACCAACACCTTCTAATTTTTAATTTATATTTACTTCATTTCCGATAAAGGGTTATGCATCCTAGTTTGTGAATTGTTTGTTCACTGACAATGGCAATAAACCTATTCTGATTCTGATTCTGATCTGATTCTGATTCTGATGCTGATCTGATTCTGATTCTGATCAGAGATGTGACATCATCAATGATTAGGCAGAAATCCCAAAGAAAATTCGCCAAAAATCATGAAACCTAATCTGAAATTATATAGAAATGAATCAAAATAATAGGTTGTTCTTTTCTGGCAAAATATCCAAATCTGTCGAATAAAGTTACTGCAAATTTTATCTACTTCACAAAGAACCTGTTTAGAACCAGGTGCTTTGAACTGATATTATGCACAAGTCTGAATTCAGTCCTGTTGTTTTCCCCTGGAATATATAATATTACATTTTCAATGTCTGCCACTGTCTGAATTCCACTTCTCCAAGAACAGATGCAGTCTTCTCTGGGCACAAGAGCCGACAGAAGTGCGTGCATCATCTTACCTGTGATATTGTCAAAGCAGGTTTGGTGGAATTTTCCAATGTAGAACTCCAGACCGATGATGGCAAACATGAGGATGGCAAAAAAAAGAAGCAGGCCAATTTGCAGCAGAGGAATCATGGCCTTCATGATGGACTTGAGCACCACCTGCAAGCCTAAAAAACACAATTGATACAAAATTAGGATTGTAATTATTTTTGCACCATATGGCTGTTGTTTTTGGACAACAGCCCATCAAACAGCCCATCATAACTCTCTGAAAAAATAATCGAATTTTTCAGTCTTGGTAGCACAAACTTGTTGGAAATATATACTAAAGGACTGAAAACAAAAGGAGAAAAAACAATGTCATTTTGTTTGAGATACTGAAGATTTAAAAATCCACCACTCCCCAAAATCTCTGAATGACTGACTATTACTTACACACAAGATACATTTTAAATAATAAAAAAATTGTTGTAGCTTACAGTTTTTGCTGCAATCATTACTTGGATTGAATTATTATGGCTTCTTTCAAAAATAACCGATGACAGACACCCAATGGAAGAAGGGGGTGGGTAGTTTCTAATTATGTCTCCTGAAATCAGCTGCTAATGAAATAGATTAAAACACAGGCTGTATAGGTGAGCTTTGGTACTTTAATCCCATTGGCCAAAGCACTTCACTGACTTTTAATTAGGATTTCAAGAAGTTGTGTTAACCTGCAGTAAAGGGGCACATCTTTAATCCACCTTAAACTATAGACAAGCCAGTTCGACAACTCCCCTTAATGGCAAATTCAGATTTCTCATGTCAGTTTTTTATAAATGTGTGCAGCATTTAGGATTTGTAGTAAATTTGTAATAAAAACAGTTACATATTCCATGTTTTTACATATCATGGTAAAGTAGTACGACCATGTGGTGGGTTTAGGCACTCAAACCGATGTGATCATACCAGGGGTATAAAAAAGAGTTATAATTGTGTTTGTGTACATAGAAAGGACTTCCTGGTAACTCTTCATCTGCTGCCTTTCAAGTAGTGCTAAGCTGCATAATTATTTTGTATGCAGTGATGTTTTCATTACCTGTGCATGACACTTCTAACTTGACTTTATAATGTTTAACAACATAAAACCTATATTTAGGTCAACCTATCTATTGAAATGTTGCTGTTTTGAACACTATCACCACTAATGGTAATCTAAGCAGTGGACATCAAACGACAGCTGAGTTAAAAACTGCATATTTAGTTAAAGCTGCAGACAACGGGGAATTCACAATGTTAGTATTGTTAGATCTTTCTGCAGCTTTTGACACTGTTGATCACAGCACCTTAATTAACAGACTGTGTGACTCGCTGGGGATCTCCGGAACTGTTCTAGACTGGTTGAGATCGTACCTTTCTAACAGAAGTTACTAAAAAGACTAATAAGTAACTGAGAAACATTCTCGTTAGTCTCCGATTTATGAAGCAGAGATTGCGTGCAACTGTGCGTACTCCATGTTTGATAGATCACAAGCCTGCTTGGCATAAGTACATTTTTTTTGGCTGAGCTTAAGTACGGTTTTAGTAAGGATTCTACGCAATGTTTGATAAATGAGACCCCTGGTCTGGCAGCGGTCCGTCTGCTTTAGCTTAGCGTAAAAATGGACGTGAATAGCAGGAACTAGCCGTTTGTGTGCAAAAGTGATAACAATGACTCAATAATATAATTCCTGGTGAGCTCAACAATCATGTCGACTGCAAATGAAATTAAGAAGTACGTGTGTTTGTTTACAGAAGCCGGGTGGCGGGGGTGTTATTTCCTTACGCCATGCAGCGGCAGCTTACAGCGGTGCTTTGTCATAATATAGTCCCAAGTCTAATTCAGTTCCTGGAAATCCTTACTTTTCATTTGCAGTTGACATGATTATTGAGCTCACCAGGAGGAATTTAATTACTTTTGCACACAGAATGCTAGTTTCTGCTATTCACTTCCATTGTTTATGCTAAGCTAAAGCAGACAGACTGCTATCAGACCAGGAGATTTACTGTGCTGGTAACAAAAAGCTTTTCCCCGCACTTATCTAACGCTGGAGAATACAAAAATAGACAAAATATCACTTAGGGATGTAATATCCCTTCAAACATAGCGTTCTTTAACAAGCTAACATTGAGATTGCAACTCTACTGCCACTAAAACGCTTTTTGTTGGTGCATTAAGAAAAGATAACATATAAGATGCACATAGCATTGATGTAAACTATTTTCTTCCTATTTATATCTTTCAAAATAACTACAGTTCGTTTTTTTTTTTTTTTACCAGAGTAATTGATAATTTGTTCAAGAAGAAGAAGAAGCAGAGATAACAAATCGTCCCGCACAATGAGTATTAACTTACTGGGTATACCGGACACCAGTTTGAGAGGCCTCAATACCCTCACAGCCCGAAGGGTCCGCAAGTCGAAATCTGAACCCACAGTGGACAGAATCCTGAAAGGGGAGATGAAGAAAAAGACAAATGCTTAGAAGCGTGCACAGAAAATCAATATTCAAGCTGGTCAGGCTTGTCACTGTCAGTCAAACTCACTGTTTCTCTCTCTCTCTCTCTCTCTCTCACACACACACACACACACACACACACACACACACACACACACACACACACACACACACACACACACACACACACACACACACACACACACACACACCCTGTCTGGCTGTTACAAGCCTCTGCGTGAGCACTGTATGTAAATCCTGCAAGAGCTGAGCTGATCAATACAGCTGACAAGTGAAGTAAGACAGAGAAGTGTATCAGGACGAGGGAGGGGCGCACTAACGAGATGGTGTTCTCTATCAGGATGAGAGAGGGAGGAAAAAGGGAAGGAAAGAAGGATGATGAAGGGAGTGTGAACCTGATACGTTGTAAACACATTGTGGTACTTTTATTAACACTCGTCTGAACACAAAAGTTATCAGCTGGAGAAGGTTAAGATGTTCTTCTGGGCTGCTAGACTTCCAGTCAGTCATTCCCCTCGTCTGACGCACTCCGTGAATCATCTCACTTCCCACTACTCTCTCTCTTTCATTCTGGCTCCTAACACATTTCTACTCTCCTCTGTTCCGCCAAGATGCTCGGTGACACAGCAGAACCGTAATCACACATTTGAGCTCTGCCTGCCTTCATTGAAAGATTACAAATTCAATAAAAAATAAAGAAAGAAAAAATTATAAAAATTAAATAGAAATCTACAGTAAGAGTCTTTTGTGTCTTTGAATGTGGAGTTGCACGAGGTCCACACTGGTTTAGGCACGAGTCCTTGTGATGACATTGTGTGATATTCAATGCCTCACCAGGGGCTGACTTGCAACTGAGATGTTCTAGGAGTGGTCACATGGCCCTGATGTACTGTACTCCAGCTGCAGGTTGAGCTGAACATTAGGTCACATAATCGTGAATGAGTTATTTTCAGAAACTGCGGAATTCTAGGAAAACATTTCACTGCAGTGTGATAAATATATTAAAATAATATACCGTATTTTCCGGACTATAAGCCGCTACTTTTTTCCCACGCTTTGAACCATGCGGCTTATAATGAGGTGCGGCTTTACTGAAGATTTTCCTTCACCTGCCAGGGGGCGCTTTAGCAGAAAGTGAAACGGGTGGAAGTCAAAAGTGGAAATCGAAGAAAGTGCTCATTTTAATTTTAGCACATGCAAGCGGCCGGCACGACGAAGAATTTGTTTCAAATCCATACCCCCTCATCATGGAAACTACACGTATGAGTTCATATGATGCCGTATTTAAGGTGAAGGCCATCGATCTGGCAGTTAAGGAGGGAAACAGTGCTGCAGCACGTAAGCTTGGCGTGAATGAATCCATGGTTCGGCGCTGGAGACGGCAACGGGAAGAACTCATTCAAGCCAGCTTCACCCGGGGATGATGACAGAAACACGGACAGCGACACTGACATCGTCACAGAAAAGGTATGTGACGAAGCTCTTCTGAGGCTGTTCAACTCCGACACTGAAGAAGAGGACTTTAATGGCTTTAGTGCGCAAGAGGAAGATGAGAGCGAATGACTTTTTCTGGTAGGCAGGTGTGTTTTATTTACTAACCAGGGATGTTTTGTGTGCAGTTTTTATTTTCTAATCATCCGGGGCTTATTAATGCTGTGTCAGCGCTGTTCTTTTCTTCTAAACATGCAAATTACCGGTAATAACGTGTCAGTTCTGTATTTATTTTATAACCATCCAGAAATATGAATGCTATCAGTGCTGTTTTCTTTTCTAAACTTGCAGGCACGCTCACCCGTGTTTAAAATTCGTTTTGTTGAAGTAAAACAACAACAAAAAACCTCTGTGTAGCATCTTTCTGTGTAATTATCTTATGTTATGGCCATACATGCGCTGTTTGCCAGAGACCTGCATGTGTCTGCTGTGCCGCGGCTTGTATTTGAGTGCGCCTTGTGTGTGTAGAAAACCTTTTTTTTTTTGTTGGTGCGGCTTATATTGAGGTGCGCTCTATTGTCCGGAAATTACCGTAATATCATTGTGCTTTAAACACTCAGAATTTACTTTTTCTACCATTTATACTTGTTGTCGGCACCTAAAAAGGGTAAATTATCTGTATTTATATAGCACCTTCTAGGGTTCTACCACCCCCCAAGGCACTTTAAATCTCAGCCAGATGATGAGCTACGTTGTAGCCACAGTTGCCCTGGAGCGCACTGACAGAGGTGAGACTGCCAAACACCAGCCCTTCCTACCACCACCACCAGGCAAGGAGGGTTAACTGTCTTGCCCAAGGAGGACACAACTGTGACAACCTGAGTGAGACTCGAACCTGCAACCCTCCGATTACGGAGCGGGCACTTAGCTCCTCTGCCAGCACTATGAGTCAAATGAACTGACAAAATATTTGCAGCAGGAAGGGAATAAATGCATGGACTTGGAATAAAATATTCTGCTTTTGTAAAACCAAGCAGTGCTTTGCAAAAATATGACAATAATGTATTGATTGTGCAGCTCTTCCCGAAACATTTTTTTCAACAGGTAGGAAGACTATTGCAGGGCCTTGCTTGAATTTTTTACAATGCTCAAAATATTCATGCAAATTTCAAAACAATTGCAGAATCATTACGAACGTCTGGAATGCGTCTCAAACTCAAACTCTAAAGGTTTAAGAAATTACACACAATTCTGTGAGGCGTTGGAGACCAAATGACAAACGAAACAATTCTAAGTTGAGAAAACAACAATAATACACTGATACGGCTGCAATAAGGACAAGGGTGGATATTTTGGATTTAGATATCTCATTCAGAATATGAAATGGTTACATAGAATAGTTCTGTGTTATCACATTTTGAACTCTTTATTGCCTGAATGTGTTTACATGATAAATGAAGAAATATGTGAGTAAATTAGAATAAAAACCGAACAAAAAAATGTCGTAAAATCCTCCAAACCAACAGTTTGTATGACCAGAAACATGATCGTGCTGATGTTACAAATGATAACAATAAATGTGATGAAAACAACAGCAATGATGGTGATAACAGCGACGACAATGATGATGAGGCAATCCAGAAATCAGTTTCCAAGCAGCATCTGCTGTCACAAACAGTGTCAGACTGATGAGGCAGTTCCTCATTTACACTGTCTCCACGGTTATGGGGCCCTTTCTCATTCATAAGTGTTTCCATGGCAACAGGGACATTGGCTCATTGATAGATAGAATCTCTGTATCACCTTGGTAACAGAGCCAGGGGAGGAGCACGATTGACTGTTTTTTTTATTCTTATTTTTCTCTATTTAAGGTTTATGTTTGGCAACACAACAGATCTGCATGGCGAACGGGCGTGACCCGAAACATGGCGAGTGAAACAAATTCAAGGATGAACATCGTAGGAAAAATGGTCATTTGGAGAAATCATTGGAAAATAATATTTACTTTGTCAGAGGCAGAAGTATACTGCATATGCACACGCACGCACGCATACACACACACACACACACACACACACACACACACACACACACACACACACACACACACACACACACACACACACATACCTACTGTACGTAGACTTGTGCATTAACAGGAGGAGCCACAAACTGTTTCATGTGTGTTTGCTTGTTTGCTTTTGCCTTCTCTCCTCATCTGCATACCTGCTGACCTGAACTAGATGCAGGAACTGATCTCTGATCAGATCCCTCACTAGACCATGTCACCTTCTCTCCCAACTCTCAGCACATCTTTCTCTACCTTCGTGCCACAATATAAACATTTTGTCTTTGACATTTTAACATAATTCTGCAATATTTTCACAGTACTCTTGCTTACTAGCTTGTTGGGGCACAAATTTAGACAACAGCTTAAGCATGTCCCGCAACAGAGACAATTCTTCTAAATGTGACTACATGATATTAGATTATCTGAGGATAAAAGGACCTAGAAACACATTTAAACTGATGGATATAGAGAGGTGGAAAATATATATTGTTTTGAGTGACTTCAGTTTGGACGGTGACGAGGTCGCCCAAAAACAAGAATTATAGTTGATTATGTGTTTAGTTTTCTCACACAGTCGATTGACATGTGGATGATGAAAGCTGGTGGCACTGAATTTCCTCTAGTCATTAAAATATGAATGGTAATCTGTGTAAATTGTAAGAGTACATTTTTCTAATTAGGGAAATCTTAACATCATACAGTTTTTTAAAAGTAGTCATCTTTTCGAACAAATATTTAGATTTATTATTTTCAGGTGATTTTAAAGGCGTGGAACACTTGTTTAATCAACATCTTTGCAGCATCCATCCATCCATCCATTTTTATCCGCTTATCCAGAGCCGGGTCACGGGGGCAGTAGCCTAAGGCGAGAGGCCCAGACTTCCGTCTCCCCACCGACTTGGGCCAGCTCCTCCGGGGAAATCCCAAGATATTCCCTGGCCAGGTGAGAGACATAGTCCCTCCACCGTGTCCTGGGTCTACTTTTAGGTCTCCTCCCAGTTGGACGTGCCCGGAAAACCTCACCAGGGAGGCGTCCAGGAGGCATCCTGACCAGATGCCCGAGCCACCTCAACTGGCTCCTCTCGATGTGGAGGAGCAGCGGGTCTACTCCGAGCCCCTCCCGAATGACCAAGCTTCTCACCCTATCTCTAAGGGAGAGACCAGCCACTCTTCGGAGAAAACTCATTTCGGCCGCTTGTATCCGCGATCTCGTTCTTTCGGTTACTACCCAAAGCTCGTGACCATAGGTGAGAGTAGGAACGTAGATCGACCGGTAAATCGAGAGCTTGGCCTTCTAACTCAGCTCTCTCTTCACCACAACAGACCGGTACAACGCCCGCATCACTGCAGATGCAGCACCAATCTGCCTATCGATCTCACGCTCCAGTTTTCCCTCACTTGTGAACAAGACCCCGAGATACTTAAACTCCTCCACTTGGGGCAGGACCTCATCCCTGACCCGGAGAAG